AGTCTATAGTTTGTTTTACTTTTAATACATAATATTTTAATAAGTGATATTTAACAAATATTTAAAAGTTATGAAATTTCCACCATTTTTTGTAGTATTTAAAAGCTAAAATGCAAAATACACTCTTTTATTTGTGTCCTAATTATTTAAGGAAACTTTTGTTAAAATTTAAAAATGTACTGTCGATAAGGTGGGGCTAATTTGCTACCGTGCTAATTGGAAATATACGTTTTATTAAACTCATCGTGTTACGTATTTGTTATAAGTTAAGAGATAAAAATTTAAAGTGACGTCTTGTATTACTTCGAAAGAAAAATCGTCTTCTAATCTAAGAAAATAATTCAGTTGGGTCTTAAGAAGAAAGCTTTAATATTTTGCATTAGGATTATCGCAACGTGCAACGTCTCAGCACACAACTCAGATAGCCAATGAAAAACTGATGCTGCATTGAGGCATTCTGTCGCTCTACGAACTTTGGCTCCGACAGCTTTTACATTTCACTTATTGGCACTTTTTGTCCACGTTGTGCTATGGGTGCTCCGCACCCAGTTTAAAATTGCTCTGGGTGCTTGCGCAGCCAGAGCCCCGAGGATCCGGCGCCTATGTATACTGATCAGTTACTTTATTACTAATAATAGATAATTCATTAGCCTTAGATGTCTTTGAATTAATATTATCCTATACAAAGAGAGATGTTGAAAATAAACTCAGATTCTTGAATTTTACACGAGGTTTTTCCTGGTGAAAATAATAATGGTATTTCCTCGTAAGATTCAGTAAGAAGCTTAACATAATATTCTATAGAGATATCTATAGAATATGAAAAATGAATATGCGGAACAAAAATACATATGCCTGGAATATCTTTCTAGAATGTAGATTGTAGAATATGAAATATATTCTGTGAATATTCCATAAATATTGTAATATATTTTGGCAAATAGGCAGATTAGTGGCATATGCCAGGGATATATTGTGCTGTCTGGGAAGCTTGGTGCAGCACAATATGATATGGATGTAACCTAAGACAAAGAATAATAATAATAATAATAATAATAATAATAATAATAATAATAATAATAATAATAATAATAATAATAATAATAATAATAATAATAATAATAATAATAATAATAATAATAATAATAATAATAATAATAATAATAATAATAATAATAATAATAATAATAGTAATAATAATAATAATAATAATAATAATAATAATAATAATAATAATAATAATAATAATAATAATAATAATAATAATAATAATAATAATAATAATAATAATAATAATAATAATAATAATAATAATAATAATAATAATAATAATAATAATAATAATAATAATAATAATAATAATAATAATAATAATAATAATAATAATAATAATAATAATAATAATAATAATAATAATAATAATATATTTAATAATTTCCTGTGTTCTTTCAATATTCGAAATACTGTAGTTTAAGGGATACCTAAATCTCTCGAAGTTACTCGAACGCATAGCTGGGGATTGAACTCTACGTACGCTAAAACATTAATGACATTTTCCTCAGTTTTTCTTGTACCCTGTCTGCGGTGTAAGGGACGAAGGACACTTCCCGTGGTTCGAAAGCGATTTGCTAAACAAGTAAAAATTCTGCTGCCGTACCGGCGTCTTTGAGGATATCTCAACGCGTACGGCCTTGCAGCTATAGTCGCATTTTGCAGGCATTCAAAATAAATAGCGATAATATCAACCGCCTCTTCAAGCAACAAAGGCAATTAAAAAAAACACACAATACAGTAACACAGCCAATACGACAAAATAATGTTCTGACGTGAAAATTGTTGATTTTTGACATTGCAAGATTTTTTTTGTTTTCAAAGCTTACTTGATAAAAATCATGGTTGGGCATTAGGTTTTGCAGAAATTTAAAAATTTGATTTATACCATAAAAAATGGACCTAGTAGAAAATGATGGGTCCTTAAATGTGTTACGTTTCTACGTTTTATTTATATTTTTGCTAAAATCTGCGATTTGAAAAGAGATATCCAAATGCGGTTTTCGTTAAAGTATTGGGCTTTTTTCTCTATCTAACTATGTAAAAAGGTATATATCGTTGTATTTAAATTTTTCGAAAAATTTCGTAAAATTTGTCAGTTTTTAACTTAACGCCCTCTAGCGGCGTTCATAAAATGTAAGCAGCCACAATTTATAAAGCTAAAAATCAGGCTAAAGTTCACTAAATTCGGTAAAGCCAAACCGGAGTTATGAGCATTTTTCCAATTTAAAGTTTAACCTTCCCCCACCACTCTATTTCACAACTGACAAAAATTAGACCTAAAATTTTTTTGTTCAGAAAATATTGAAGATTAAAATAGTAATATTTATCAATATACTTTACTTGGTATTTTTTTGAGAAAATTATATTTTTATGTTTTGACGTCACAATTACGCCCCCTAGCGACCACCCTACAAACTTGAAAATAATTTCTAGTAATTTCTCTTGGCCATTTTTATTAAAAATATTTTTTCCCCAAAGCTGTACTATTATTAGTTTCTGAAATATACCTCTCTTAATGGAACACCCGGTACATTTTTCATTTGACCTAAAGTCCAAAGTCACATAGCATCAGCAAACCTAGAAGCATCGGCAACTTCGCATAATGAAACAATTTTCGCTTCAGAAACTGCTCAAATGGAAACGAGTTACTACGCAGGACCTTTAAATTAGTATGGCCCTCTATCTCTCTCTTTATTTTATGTTCTTTGTCAACTTTCGCATCTGTTGTGGGTAATCTAAAGCTACCATTTCGCAAGCCGAGACAGAGACCGACTTTAAAACGCGCCGCGACAGCAAGGGAGACACTAAACGGTCTTCTCACGTCTGAACACATGTAATTACATATATGAAACACATTTCGGTAGTATGGCAATATTTGCCGCCTTACTTCTGTTTCGGTCTCGCGTCGCTTTTCGCGCGTTGCCAAATGGTACCTTAATAGTAATTGACGTTACAAGACCGGAAAGTAGTGTTTAACAGATCGAGACAAGCAGATTCCAGGGCGAGCCGTAATTGAGACGTGGAAGCTTGGAGAGACCTGCTAAACACTAATTTTCGGTCGCGTGACGTGCAATATTTTTTTCAAGATCGACACTTCGATGTAAACTCACTTATTTATTTTATTTAAAAAATTGATTAACAAATGCTAAAACTAGATAATGGATCTGGAATTTTATTTTCTATGTCAGATAATTCAAAATCTGAATCCATATTTTTAAATTTTCGAAAACAAGTTTTACATGAACAACAAATTAAAAATCAACGAACTGTCACTTGTTACTAGAGTAACGAAATCAACGCAGACTGTATTAACAAACAGTTATTGGAAAAATAAAAAACAGGGACCGGTAATAGAAATTTACGTTACAAGACCGGAAAGTAGTGTTTTGCTGGCCAAGATAAACTTGGAGAGACCTGCTTAACACCAATTTTTGGTCGCGTGACGTGCAATATTTTTTTAAGATCGACACTTTGATGTAAACTCAATTATTTATTTTATTTAATAAAATGATTAATAAATACTAAAACTAGATAATGGATACAACTGCATAAACTAACCAAATACATTATTTTTCTATGTCAGATAATTCAAAATCTGAATTCATATTTTTGAATTTGCCAAAACAAGCTTGACATAAACAACAAATTAAAACTCAACGAACTGTCACTTGACAATAAATTGGAACGTTGTTGCCATAGTAACGAAATTAAGGCAGACAGTTTCATCAAACAGCGATAGGAAAAATGAAAAACAGGGACCGGTAGTAATAATTTATGTTACAAGACCGGAAATTAGAGTTTTGCAGGTCAAGATAATTAGATCCCAGGGCAAGCTATAGGCGAGACCTGGGTAGCAATTCTTGAATTCGAGACAATAGAAAACCGGGTTTTCCTCTTTATCTGCAACGCACAAAATTTGTATTTTTGTCTCATTCTTCTCTCAAAATTTCTACTCCCCGAGATTCAAGAATAGATACTCTGGAAGCTTGGGGATACTTGCTTAACATTAATTTTTGGTCTTTTGACGTACAATATGTTTTTCATGACCGACACTTCGATGGTAAACTCAATTATTTATTTTATTTAATGAAGTGATTAACAAATAACAAAACTAGATAATGGATACAACTGCATACATTAACCAAGTACATTATTTTCTGTCAGATAATTCAAAATCTTTATCCATAATATTAAATTTGCGAAAGTTTGACATAAACAACAAATAAAAAATCAAGAAACTGTCACTTGTTAATAAATCGGAACATTGTTACCATAGTAACGAAATCAAGGCATTATAAACAGAGACCAGAAAAATGAAAATAAGGGACCGGTAAAAGCTTTTACCGGTCCCTATCGTCTACTTTCTGTTCTTGACCGGCAAAACTTTATTTTCCGGTCGAAAACTTGTTCAGAAAGTGTATATTTTCTGGTCGGTCTTAAAAAAGCTTTTTTCTACGAACACTATCCAAAGTAGGCTTTTGCGCTTCGAAATTCAACCGCAAAGTTGATGTTTTTCGCAAAATGACATTAAGTGACAGCTTTGTCGATCACCGAGCGGAAAACATGACAGCTTTGTCGCACGCAACTTTTTGTCTCAAGCGCCAAAGTATCACTTTTCGCTCTTAATACACAAATAGCTATTACTAGTCCCTAACGTCTACTTTCCGGTTCTGATCGGCAAAACCTTATTTTCTCGACGAAAAATTGTTCAGAAAGTGTATATTTTCTGGCCGGTCTTAAAAAAAGTTTTTACCGCTTCTTAACGTTTACTTTCCGGTCTTAATCGGCAAAACGTTATTATCTGGACGAAAAATTGTATTTTCTGGTCGGTTTTAAAAAATAGTATATTACATACTGAGGCAGGAAATGCATTATTACTGTCGAGGGCTAATATACTTATAATATACTGTTATACCTTCGCCTATTTTCAGTTTTGATTTTTTCAGATTTTTTATTTTGAGTACAGATGAAAATTAAAAGAAAAATAATGGAGTCCACTACTAACACCAAAATTTCTGATTCGGGATATTCCAATAGTTGCAGTAATACCAATTCCCAAAGAAGGTAAATAATCTGTTTATATTGTAATCGTATACATATTATAATGTTAAGTCTGTAAACTCCGTTATTTAATAAAAAAAGAGAAACGCAATCTGCCTCCTTCCATCCTCTCCAAGTGAGTGTTAAATAACAAGAGAGGTCGTGTGGTACTATATTGGAAAGGGCACGAAAACCGGAATTCAAAATATATCACTGTAGGTCTTATGAGACACAAAAGTTTCTAATAAAATGAAGTAAACTAACATTATGTATTCTATTACATCTTCTAAATTAATAAATTATAACCATAATGAAATTATTACAGAAGGCGCTCTAAATTTTTTTCATTTACTTCCTGACAATTGTCAAAAAACTAGACATGACAACTTGGTATGTAAAAGAGGGTGTAGTCTGGAACTGATAAGGTTAGGTTTATGAGGATGGGATGAATCATTTCCAGCCTAAGAAAAAAAATACGGAGTCAAACATCCTTTTATTTTTTGACATAGTCGCCTTCTCGCTTCATACACTCCGCCCAACGAAATTTAAGGCCCTTTATGTGGCTTCTATAGGCCGATTCGTCCGACTCTTCAAAATACCTATGTATAAAATGTATTTAAGTTTGGAAATAAACTGAAGTCTGAAGAGGTCAAGTCTGGCGAGTAGAGTGCATGTGAATTAATAATGTAATTATGACAAGGCTCATTGTCATGATGGAACAAAACTAATTCGATAATTCTAATCTTTTCTTCAAAATTTTCTGTTGTAGCTGATAAATTAAGTTACTATAATATTGTCTAATTATTGTTTTACCCTTTTCAGAACAAATAATAAAAAAATGCCTTTTTCTTCCTAAAATATCAACGTTCTAAACTTTTCGGCCGATGGAACCGTTTTCGTTTTATTTCGGACTGAATCGCCTTTCGCTGTCCATTGTCTTGACTGCTGATTGGTCACCGGCGTTTAATGCTGAACCCAAGTCGCGTCCATAGTTATAATTTTGAGCAAAAAGTCTTTTGGATTGTACTTAAATAGAAACAAATACTCTCCTGAAATAAGAATGAGTTTTTGCATCGATCCAAGCGAGGACAGGTTTCTCATGTCAATAATTTATCTACATCATCCATCGAGATAGAACATCATCTAAAGCAAACTTCAGCTCAGCTTTAATTTCCGTGAGACTTAAACCCTTCCCTTGATGTGAAAATATTTTATGACAGCTTGTACTTCGAGTTTCTTCATTATTCAAAAATTTAGTACTTGATTAATATAGCTGGCTGTCAAATACAAACCACTGGATACAAAAAAAATTACAAACTAATTAAAACCAAAAATAAATTATCCAAATCATACCTCACTATTATAATAGGTTAGGCTGGAAGTTATTTATACCATCTCTGTAGATATTATTAAGAGTGATACAATTTTGAATTCCGCTTTTCAAGATTTAAAAATGCGGGAGTGGGTGTTACGTGGAGGGGATGAAAAAATAAGAAGCAGTTTTGGGTGTTATAAGATGCATCAATTAAACTAAAAATTGACGGGTCCGAGTATTTTTCATAATTTTTTTTTTAAATCGGAGTTTACATGAGGGATAAGATTTAACATCCGTACTGTGTAATATTTTTTAGTGCAAGTTCAAAATCAATCCATAGTGAAAGTACGTCCAGCAGAAGCAGCGGATATTGTGGTGCTACAAATCCCAATGGCAGGTAAGTCAGTTGGATAAATTCAAAACTGGATGAATCTTATATCTCATATGGGTACGTTTCGACTACGTAACTACCTATATTTTGCTTCTTAAAGTCTCATAATCCACGAACACTCATAACCTACAAAACAAATAGTCCAAAAAATATACACAGAGTGAGGCACTGAAAACGAATGAACAGTTTGAAGGTTAATTTAAAAAAAAAGAAACAAGTCGATTTTTATTACATGGAAGTTATCTTTCTTTAATATTCTCAACTATCATACGTCATTCCTATATCCTTCGTCCCTCTAACCAATACAATTTAAATAAGGAAATTACCAAGTATGACGGGATAAAAACTATTACAATTATTAGTTTTTCGGAATTAAGTATTTATATGAATGTATCAGATTCACTTATTCTACTTATTCTAACGAAGCAGTTTATCATGTCTGGACCTGTATACAGAACAATTTACTTTTTATCGTTAATGCGTCCATCACCACACCGACAGGAAACTGTACTGGATCTAACCCCTTTTTACATTTTGCTGGATGATCTCCCACATACTCCTGATGACGGGTATTCAATGGAATGAAGAAAAACTGCGATGAGACAAAACGGGATTGCTAAGTGAAATTACAATATTCTCGGCATGGTCTCAGACTAACTAGTTCCACGACAGTGTTTGAAAAGGAGAAAAGGAGTAGTAGCGGGAATATTCTACAAAAGCCAAGAGTTGACATATCAATAAACCAGGGCCCTTTTGTCACGATCTTCAAGCAGAAATGATCGCAAAAGAATTGGGAGCGAGAGAGTTAATTAATTTTCATTTTGTTAACAAGACTATATCCATCTTTTCGGGTAGCCAGGCAACCCTTAAAGCTCTAAGCTACAACCAAGTTATTTATTGTTTCGGCCTTTACTTGATGAAAATCCATTTAATTTTGAAAGAGTAAAACCAAATTTGGTAGATTTTCACACTTTTATTTTAAAAATAAAATTAAAAAAAAAAAAACACACTAACATGACATATGTTTCGAAGTACAACTTCTTTTTCAAATGTGACTATTTACAATTCGGTATCCAATATATATACGAAATAATTTAACAAAACAAAGTACTTAAGAAAACATCAATAACATTACAAAATAAACTAACTATTTAAAGTAAATAAGGGTACTTAGGTAATTATAATATCCATCAAATAACAATAAGATAGCCCATTACCGGGATTATCTCACAGAAAACTGGGAAAGAGATTTAATAAGGGTGAATTATTAATATCTAATTGATCATTTAGTAAGTTATCTGAATTTTTAAATCTATTTATTTCAAGTGTTTCTAAATGGTTTAATTTTAGGCTCTTATTTTCTACATGTAAAATTTCAAAGTTCAAAGTAGATTCTACTTACTCAAATCATATTTTAGCTGAAAATCATTCTTTTACAGACAACTTTGAAATTTTACATGTAGAAAATAAGAGCCTAAAATTAAACCATTTAGAAACACTTGAAATAAATAGATTTAAAAATTCAGATAACTTACTAAATGATCAATTAGATATTAATAATTCACCCTTATTAAATCTCTTTCCCAGTTTTCTGTGAGATAATCCCGGTAATGGTTTATCTTATTGTTATTTGATGGATATTATAATTACCTAAGTACCCTTATTTACTTTAAATAGTTAGTTTATTTTGTAATGTTATTGATGTTTTCTTAAGTACTTTGTTTTGTTAAATTATTTCGTATATATATATATATATTGGATACCGAATTGTAAATAGTCACATTTGAAAAAGAAGTTGTACTTCGAAACATATGTCATGTTAGTGTGTTTTTTTTTAAATTTTTATTTTTAAAATAAAAGTGTGAAAATCTACCAAATTTGGTTTTACTCTTTCAAAAAAAAATACAACCAAGTTGATTCAAAGCAGGTTTGAAACTGTATAAATACCCTTGATTGCCTCGGTACCCGGAACAAAGTTACTTTGATTTGAATTCTGGGACACAGTGGGGTAGAGAGAAATAAAGATGCCGACGCTCGCGCCTAATGGCGAACCAAATCTGAGTTCATAGGCTCATAACAATTCCTTGGCATTGCAAAAAAGACTGTCAGAGGAATTTTCTCAAACTGGACAGATGGTTTAACGCTCATGTACTGAAGAGCTACCTGAAGGGCTAACTCATTCGAATGCGTATATAACGCCTCGGCTCCGATCCAATAATGCAGTAGGAACTATTAACGCGACCGATGACTCGACATTATCGTCTAGGTAACCACATGAAAAGGATAGGTGTGCAACACACAGCAGGCTGTCGATTATCCAGCGTAAAAAACGAATCGGCAGAGCATATCCTAGGCAACTGCTCCGTCTTGGAAAGAACTGGGTTCCAGATCATTGGATTTACCCGAATGGACCCTACCGATTTTTCCTAACTCAACCATGGCATTAATCAAAAAGTGTGGTTCGTACGGTGAACTATAACTTAGGCATGCGCCACAATAGAACCGTCTGGGTCGCAGTGGAAGGCAATGTAACCCTACCACTCATTTTCAACCTAACCTAACTTTTATTTCTCGTGTTTATCTCGAGTAGGATTTGTATGAGCTTTATCTTATCTGGTTAGTATGCTGATGATACATGTAATATTTAGATTTTGTTTTTTCTGCAAATAGAAGAGTTTTTCTAATTATAAAAAAAAATCAGTTTACACCCTATTTTTTTTTAATTCCATATTTTACGTTTTCTAGTGTTCATATTGATTTGCAACCTCCAATACGCAGCAGGGATAAAGGACATAATAAGAAAAAAATTAAATCCACCAATTTGGTTTCAACCCTTACTAGTATAGTAGGTTCAACTTTAAATTTGGCTTCAAGTGAGAATCTTAACAACTTCACTAACAATTTTAATGAAGGATTTTCTGAACCAGTTATTGGTAAGTGTTTCAGTGTTTCGGCCATCTAATTAATAAAGATTTAATCATTGAAAAAATTACGTTTATTAACTACAACATATTTTATTAATAAATCATAAACAGAAAAATTATTACAGTACATTGACCTATATCACCAGTATATCAAAAAAGTTTTGCGGTGTAATGTACTAGAGTGTATGAAGTATTTTTCAAATCTTCATCTATTAATTGATCTAGATGAGACAGTGTCCTCTTGCAGGACATTCTAAGTGTATACCACTCGGTTTTTCCATTTTTTTGGGAATGTTCTCTATGTGTTCCTTATACCTACTGTACAAAATTCATGTCAATCAGTTTAGTTCGAAAGAATTTGTAGCCAAAACCCGTCAAACTGTTGATAAACTCAGTAATTGACATGACAGATACACGGTATGCAGAAAAATTGCTAGTAAAAGATGGGGATGTAACCCGAACATACTGCGATGGATATATACAGCAATAGTGAGACCAACCATCACTTACGGGGCTACAGCCTGGAGTAACAGAACTAGTTTAGCTACTACGAGGGCTAATTTCTCAAAAACTAACTGGTGTTTGCATCACCGGTGCAATGAGAACCTATCTTATGGCCGCAATGGAGATCTTAAACCTCACTTCTCTACATTTATTGATAGAGAATGCGGCAAAAGGACAGGATATAGAATTATCAGAAATAGAGTATTATACGTGTATACTCAGCAGTTTCATTAGAATATTTTCACCCAGAAAAAAGAATTTCTTATGCTGGAATTTTGGCAACACAACCCGTTTTATGAAAGCTAAATAGTACATAAATTTTTAGTTATTGCACACCTGAGAAATTGTGTAACAAAATGCCTCAGTTCGAAGATATCAAAAGTATCACCATGTTAGCGATTTTGACAGGGATAGAATTGCTGCCTATCGTGACGTGGGTTTGTCTTATCGCGAAATTGGCCGCCGTGTTAATTGTACTGAAATGACGGTAATGCGTCTGTGTCGTGTGTGGACAGAAGAAATTAGAGGAACACGAAGAAGACCGAGACGTACCACAGAGCGTCACGATAAGTGCTTCAGGCTTCAAACAACTAGCTCTGCGAGACGGTTTTGCTCAATGGTTTGGAGAAGAAGGTAGACAGATATATTACCATGTGTACACTGTATCGCCGTATTCGAGCCTTTACACTTATTTAATACCATCCACGATTAGTGCCTCCTTTGTCTGCGTACCACTTTTGTCAGTATTTAAACAGATGCAGAAAACAGCATAATTAGGAGACAGAATGGCTAAATGTCGTATCTAGCGACGACTGGTATCCCATTATCACTTTTATTTATTTAAGGCAGTATGACAACTGCGTTATGTTAAGGTTCGTTTCAATACAATAGCAAATCAATTTACGCTCTGTCAGGATTCTGCGCAATCCAAAATTGGTGTTTCATCAAACTTCGGACTCTAAACAGATACAAAAACCTACTGTTCCAACCACATACTTTGATTACTATACGAGGCAAGAGAGAGGTCCGACACGCCCAACATAAAGCGCAGCCATTTTGAACCCTGTGACACAGTTTACAGCTAAAGAATCAGATCGCTCACTCTGCGTCGGCACTTTGGATCTCAATGTTTCAGTTTATACACTGTGCAACTCGGATAATACAATATATGACAACCGCCTATAATAAAACAGTAATCTTCTGCGTATCCTGAATTTGTATCCCTGGAGTGGATGTTATTTTGGAACTTTCAACTGGTCCGAGTGAGCTAACTGATTCTTTAGCAATAAACTGTGACTTCAAAAATAATATTCACTGACACTGACAGCAGCAAGCAAAATATCAGATGCGTTTTAATCATCCGCTTCTGCTTCCAGAATTGTCGGTTTAGTCGTTTTAACCTGTCAGATTAAAACAAGAAAACTGACAATTCCGAAGCAGAAGCGGATGATTAAAACGCACCTATTAAAAATATTGAGCGAAGATGTAGGCAACACGTAATAAGGGTTCAAAATGGCGGAGTTTTCTATCTCCTATTAAAAGGCACTCAGAAAGCTGCGCAGTGCGACCATTCTCCGTATAGTAAAAGAAAATCAAAGTATGTGGTTCCAACACATTCAAGTTCCGAATTCAATACCTATCATCGACAGGTCATGGACAGGTCGTCGACTGTCACGTTGTTGACAATAAGTTGTGGACTTCTTTAAGTATTGTTCCAAGATTATTGTTGAAACAAACCTTTAATGATGTCCTATAAACCACTTCACTGACTTATCTAGATGGCTGTCCACACGTATGTTTTCAACAAGTCAACGCATGTCCCCTTATTGCTCGTTCAACTCTGGACTTTCTCCAAGAAACTGGCGTTAATGTTTTGCCATGTATTTAAATCCCATCAAACATATGTGGGATATGACGATTTTGCACCATCCTCCACAGAATCTGGCACAGTTAATCTACGAAGTTCAATTTGCTTAGAATAAGGTGCCACAAGCAGACATTCACCATCTCATTTTATCAATTGCCTAGACGTGTACAGGAATGTACTCGGCAACGGGGTCGCCAAACATATTTTCTTTCGGATTACATGTTAATAAATTTCTTGATGTAAGACTACTTACCTTACTACATTGTCAAAAAATTAAGATCAAGAAATTATTCCTTGTGGGTGTTGCATTTCTAATGTCACTGACTTTAGAATACAAGAAGAGCAACCATTTGTGTGACTAGCTGCTAATTTTTTCATGTGAATTTCCATTCATTTTTGTGTTGTATGCATTGAATACTACAGAAGTATTTATGGCATATGTGGGCAACCCCCGGCCCCCGGGTCACCAGCTTCAATCCGGCCCGAGAGAGATTCAGAAAATTCAAATAATGCACAAAAAAATAGAGTTAGCACACATTTAGTTTATTTGTAATTCTATTAAGCGTACGCAGTAAAACGCCACTATATTCTTCAACTTATAATGACAAAAATCAATAAATATTATTATTAAGCGTACGCAGTGGAACGCCACAGATCGGGTCAGAAGAAGATAAACATTCGGGAAGCCGCCCGATGCGCTTGAAGCGCTCGCGTACGATCGAGAGTATTCTAGTTGCTTATTGAAGGTAATATATAAACCGCTCAGCGCGTGTCACCTTACTACTTAACAACTGATAAAGTTCGCATCGAATATTCACATACTATCGAGAGTACGATTCGGGAAATATTCCAGCAAACATATGCCTGATTCAAAAAAGCGGAAAGTTGACACAAAATGTCGTTAGTTCCAAGACAAATAGGCTGATGAATACTTTTTTATCTTGCACAGTGTATTTGTTGTGCAATGAAAAAATTTCTGTTTTAAAAGAATACAATATGAAGTGGCAATAATATGTAATAATTCACTCATGAGCCAGTTAAGAGAGGATAAAATTAAAAAAACTCATTACCGATTTAGGGAAACAGCAACAAATGTTCCATTCACAAAGATCAAATCTAGACAGTGTTGTTAATTAAAGCTAGTTTTATAATTAGTTTCAAAATATCGGAAACATCGAAGTCATTTTATGAGGGACAGTTTGTTAAAGACTGCCTAGTAGACGTTGCAAAACTTCTGTGTCCAGAAAAGAAAAAAGTGTTTGAGAAAGTGAGCTTTCGCTACGTACTGTTGTTCGACGTATAGATATGGTGGCTAGTGATATTAAAAAAACTTTGACCTATACATTAGCTGATTTTCAAGCATTTTCGATTGCTTTGGATGAGAGTACAGATTTATCTGACACAGCCCACTTAGCTATTTCATATACAGTCTGAAAAAGTTGGCAACAAATGGGAAACTTTTTTATTATTAAGTTTAGGAAAAAACGTCATTCTTCATAAAAAGTTCTGTAAGGCCTAAAACCCAATATACGATAATCAGATATCGAAATTTTCCAATCGTATACGAGGTTTGTCAAAAAGTATGAATTTTGCTCAAGAGTAAAGTACCTTTATTTTCGACAATATCTAAAATTGTTATTAAGAAAAGTTGATTAGAATTTAAACTACGTTTAAATGTCTAATTACAGCTATCTACGATAAAAACCAGGTTTTATTATTGTTTACAATTTCTTTAAGATCGAAAATGATCAAAAACTAGGTATCTAAATTATTGACCTGTACAAAATCAAGTTGCTGTGGAAATGTTTTGAAACATATCTTATGTCAGTATGCTTCAAAACCTCAGATATCGATAGAAATTAAAAATTATGTTCATGTGCACTTACTGATTACACCACTCATTTTCTCATTGCAAATTTTGCTATAAATATTGACTTTGTTTTGCACGAGTTATCAATAATACAATGTAAACAAATGCATACATAATTAAAATCATTTATTTTCAAAACACAACATCAAACATTACATGCATGAAAAAGAAGAATCCGGATTAACTTTTCCCTCACTGCACGTACGCCTCAACATATCCACCGTCCCTTTCTAAGCAGGTAATTGTTCTTCGAGAGAATTCTTTTATTGCATTTCTAATAACATCTGGAGTAACACCGTCACATGTTTCCCTAATTATTCTTTCCAAATGATCAATATTTTCAAACGGTCTTTTAAGGTATACCTTTTGCTTCAAGTATCCCCATAAAAAGAAGTCTAGGGGGGTCAGGTCCGGAGATCTTGGAGGCCAAGCAAAGTCCACAAATCTTCCAATTACTCTTCCGTTAAAAATTTGTAGAAGACATTCTCGAACATTTCTTGTACTATGGCAGGTTGCTCCATCATGTTGGTACCATGTACGTTGCCTTTCCATTATTGGTAGGTTATGAAGAAATTCAAGAATCTCATTATTTAAAAATTCCAGATAACGTTCAGCATTCATATTAGTTCGAAAAAAAAATGGTCCAATTATTCTATCTTTAAAAATTCCACACCATACATTTGTTTTAAAACAGTATTGGTCACGAGTTTGGACAGTGAAATTAGGATTAACATCACTCCACCAACGGCAATTTTGTGAGCTGACTACCCCATTAGAAGTGAACGTTGCCTCGTCCGAAAAAATTATGCACCGTGCCATATAATTATTATCTTCTAACTCCCCTTGGAACCAAGCACAAAATTCAAATCTTCTATTAAAATCTCCTGCTTTTAGGGTATGAGTGAACTGGGATTTGTAAGGTTTAAATTTGTTTGCTTTTAATATTCCTGCAACTACGTCTTTGCGCACACCAAGTAAAGCTGCCCTTTTTCTTATGGAATCTTTAGGATTTTCTATTGCTGAGAGCATTACTTGATTTTGAATTTCTTCAGTAGCAACCCGTGCCTCATGTTTCTTTTTGAATTTATTCTCAACATTTCCGGAACACTTGAACTTTTTTATTATTTTACTTACTGTTGCAAAATGTACATTTTTATCAGGATGTCTGTTATTAAAGATTATGGCAGCTTCCCTATAAGTTTTGTAGTTATCTCCAACAATTAAAACAATTTCAATTTTCTCTTCAAGACTTAATTTCAACGGCATTTTTACTAGTATTTAAAAAAGTACAATTATTACAAACTGAGGTTTTGAAGCATACTGACATAAGATATGTTTCAAAACATTTCCACAGCAACTTGATTTTGTACAGGTCAATAATTTATATACCTAGTTTTTGATCATTTTCGATCTTAAAGAAATTGTAAACAATAATAAAACCTGGTTTTTATCGTAGATAGCTGTAATTAGACATTTAAACGTAGTTTTCAATTCTAATCAACTTTTCTTAATAACAATTTTAGATATTGTCGAAAATAAAGGTACTTTACTCTTGAGCAAAATTCATACTTTTTGACAAACCTCGTATACGATTGGAAAATTTCGATATCTGATTATCGTATATTGGGTTTTAGGCCTTGCAGAACTTTTTATGAAGAATGACGTTTTTTCCTAAACTTAATAATAAAAAAGTTTCCCATTTGTTGCCAACTTTTTCAGACACACTGTATGAGGTATTGATGAAGCATTTGCAGTGACAGAGGCATTACTGGCTTTACGGCCGCTACAAGGGAGCATTACTGGTAAAGATACTTTTACCGAGGTACAAAGTACTTTTGAGCAATATGGTTTGCAGTGGTGTACATTAATTTGAGTATGTACGGATGGTGCGCCTTCCATGGTCGGTTCATGAAAAGGTTTTATCAGAATTCTGAAGGAAAGAGCAACCGCTATGAATGTGATTTAATAATTCTGCATTGCATTATTCGCCAACAAAACTTGTGCTTCAAGTCCATTCGATTGAAGACTGTTATGGATGTAGTAGTGAATACCATTAATTTCATTACATCCCGCAGTCTTAACAATCGCCAGTTTAAAGCATTTTTGAATGAACTTTCTTCAGAACATGTTGATGTGACATATTAGGTATTTTCCTTTGCATCGAAAGTGTAGCACTGAGCTACGCCACTTCTGAAAATATCATTCCATCCATACTATTTGTGTAAGTGAAACGATATTCTCAGTGTAGCTCTGTGCTACACTTTCGATGCAAAGGAAAAGACCTATTATTTACGAAGTAAGGTAAAATGCTAAAAAGATCTTATGATCTCAGAAAAGAAATAGCTGATTTTATGGAAATGGAAGAGAAAACATTGCCGCAAATTTGTGATCCAACTTGGCTTTGTGACTTGACACTTAAACGATCTGAACTTAAAGCTTTAAAAACAAGGGCAATTGGTAAATCATCTGTACCGTTATCTTATAGCTTTTCAAAACAAAACTTGCTTGTGGGAAACACAAATGAGAAGTAAAAACTGTTTTCATTTTTCAACATTATCCAGTCACGAAAACATTGAATACGGTCATTATACTGAAGAATTGAAACTACTGACCGAGCAATTTACTGATCGATTTTCTGGTTTTAAGAATATGGATAGCACTTTCAATATTTTTGCAAATCCTTGCAAGTGTAATGTGGAAGATGGTCAGCTTCACCTACAAATGGAGTTGATCGAGCTTCAAGAAGACTCGTATTTGAAGTCTAAATTTGATGCTATGAAACTAAGGGAATTTTACAAAACATACCTTTCCAAAGAAAAGTATCCACAGCTGAGAGTTTTCACACGAAAACTAATTTGCACATTTGGAAGCACGTATAAATGTGAACTGCTTTTTTCAATCATGAAAATTATTAAAAATAAGCATCGTACTCGGCTTACAGATGGTAATTTAAAAAACACTTTGGGCCTATGTACTAGTGATATTGATAATCTTGTTTATCAGCTTCAAACTCAAGTCTCTAATTGATTTTTCTATCTTTTTTGTTTGTTTAATTGAGCATAATCATTATGCTATTATAATGAATAAATAAAAAAATGTGAATGTTTGTCTCTTTTATATTCACTACTACCTACTTATTTCTTGCCTACGGCACGCGATCTAATTAAGTCCCGAAATTATGCGCCCTCGGCTAATCAAAGGTTGCCCATACCTGATTTATAGTATCACTGGTGTCCAGAAAAAATATTAGTGGTCCAGCCAGCACAAAACCCATGTGGTATTCCACTGACAACAAAATTCTAATATATAGTTTAGAAACAGAAATAAGTAGGTAGGTACCCTAACAGATTACAAATCGCCATGTGTTGCCGTTTAGATGACGATTGGTGAGGTTTTTCGGGTTTTCCTCACCTATAAGTCAAATGGCACTATAAATCATCTTTAAGTCGCTCTGGAGCGCCACGGCAAGTAATAATAATAGTCGTCCCTTCCGCACACAAGTTCAGTCGGGTTTAGGAAGTAAAATTCATTCATCAGGGGGTGAAATTCACTCGTAAATTATATTATTAGAAATGTACAGAAATAATACTGGACGATATATGATTTCATTATTGAATACTTTTTACGAAATCCAAATGAATAAATATAGGTAATATAATAGACCGTATCTGCTTTGTTTTAGACTGTATCATATTTTATTTTTTACCAAAATCGTCATCACCATATTATATGTATTATATGTATGTATCTATAACAAAATGTAAAACATGTTTTCCTTGTTTTAAAATCTCAATTAATTTCAGACGCCAAACAAGCAATTCCTGAAACCGTTATAAAAGTTGCAAGCACTGAGGAAGATAATGAAATGATTTTAGAACAACCAATTACCTCTACACCAATTGAACCAATTTTAGGTAAGTGCTCTATTCCTTTCTCATCTCCTGTAAGCCAAGTTCCAAGTTCTAGAGTAGTTGCAACGGGGTTTAGCTCCTGACATACCAAAACGACTTAGGAGATCAAATATATATCATACTTTAATCTACTTTATAATCTATTTTGTAATCTATTTTATAATATACTTTATAATCTACTTTATAATCTACTTTATAATCTACTTTATAATCTACTTTATAATCTACTTTATAATTTAATCTACTTTATAATCTATACTACTTTATAATTTACTTTATAATCTAATTTACAATCTACTTTATAATCTACTTTACTTTGTAATCTATTTTATAATCCTCTTTATAATCTATATTATAATTTACTTTATAATCTACTTTGTAATCTAACATATTTTGGCACATCCATTTTTTTACGCTAGCTAAGAGCCCGTCTCCCAATCAGGAACATACCATCGCTTATCGTTTAGACTGGAATGAGGACAAAGAAAATGAAAAACCTGAAACTGAAACTTTAGTCAAAGAAAAAGCAGTTGAAGCTAACAAAACTTATCCTTACCAGCCAGAGGTAACTAGTGAAAATATTCCATTAAAACTCTTTAATCTCATTAACTTAACATGAAATGAAAAAATAGATATATGTTTATTGTTCTAGGATGGTTTTTGCTGCGTTATTTCTATGTATGATGGAGTGGTATTGTACACAACACCGAGTTTAACTTCTGTTTTGGGATTTCCTAAAGATATGTGGTTAGGAAGATCATTTATTGATTTTGTGCACCCAAAAGATAGAGAAACCTTTTCTAGTCAAGTTACTACAGGAATAGCATTTCCATTAGTCGATTCTGAAGGAAAATACAAAGGTAAGGTTCCATTTATGGCCGGTAAAATGGTTTAAATGTTAAAATTTAGTGTAAAAAAACATTTTAAGATATATATTTTTTTAGATTATAAAAACTGTCTTTATGTTTGCTTGCGCAAATACAGGGGACTGAGATCAACTGGTTTCGGTGTCATAGATAAGGCAGTTTGTTATCAAGCTTTCCAACTTACGGTGAAGTTCAAACACATTACTGATTCGCTTGAAACCAAATATTTGGAAAATAATAGCGGTATGTTTCTAGTTGTCGCCGCAGTTCCTGTTTATTCGTCTTATAAAGGTAATTTTTTCAGAAAAGTCTAATTTAGGCTTTAATCATTCAGATTTGGTTTATTTATTCTATAATTTTTACTATAACTAATTTGCCGCCTTTAATAATACTGCCCAAAAAAGATAAATGACAGTAAATGATAAAACAGATTTGAGTAAATCAAACTTTTATGCAATTTATTGACTACTGTATTTATAGCAGTAAGAAATGCATACACAGTCAGATAGTGACAGATTTAGTTGGCCCATTTTCGCCTATAAGCCTCGAAGAGGGTTGAAAAGTACATAGATGTTGAGTAGAATGAAAGGAAATTTACTAGTGACTCTTGGGGATAACATGGATAGATCGATTTTCCTTAACAGAAATAAAAGGTATTTGTTGCCCATATTATCACGCAAGCCATGTATACTAAATGATTAACTAATAGAACTAGGCTTCGGAAAACTAAAGGCTTCAATGATGCAAGTGACAAAGGGTTGAAATAAGGGCGTAATCTTTTAAGGGAAACTCGGGTTTAACCGATTTTTCCACGTACATCGTCACTAGCCCGAAAAATATATTGGCTTAAGTGGACAAAATGAATAAATGCCTTTTGGGTCGGAAAATTTAAAGAAATTTTTTTCGATTTTTCACTTATTTTCCCACCAATGAAACTAATTGAAATAAGAAGTTATTAATTTAAGAGTCCATAAAAAAGAATGGCTTGAGTGTAGAGTATGGAGTATGGCCTTTAAATTTTCAGAAAATAGGAAAGTCGCAGGAAAATTGTATGCAAATTGTTACCATTTTCTCACGCAAGCCGTTTGACATATGCTTAGTAAAAGTGATTCTAAGACTATATAACAAAAGGCTTGACTGTCGGACATGGTTTATTATTTATTCATAATGTGTCTGTCACTATTTGACGGTTCTATAAGTAGTTTGTAAAATAATAATAATACTATCCCTAACTAGTGAATTTTAACTCCAAAAGCTGAGCTTGTGCGGGGAAAGGGGCGGCTATTATTATTATTATTTGCCGTGGCACTCCGGGGCGACTTAAAGATGATTGATGATGCCATTTGACTTACAGGCGAGGAAAACCCGGACAACCTCACCCACCATCATCGAGACGGTAATGCAAGGCGATTTTATAATATGCATGTCATATCAACAGAAATTTAATTTCTATTAATACGGCACACATCAAATCCTATATCGAACAATGCAATTTAATTAAAAATCCACATGGTCTGGTCTGGGATTCGAAGCCCGGCAGTCTCGGACCATAAACTATAAATGAATACAAGCGCGTTAGATGCTACACCACCGACCCGACGGAAAATAAAGTCATATACTTCCTGGGAGGTGGGAAGGCATGGATAGGTATGTCATACAGGTATCGTACTGTCGAACTGGTAAATGACAAAACAAGGCGAAACTTCTATTTATATCTGTAAGGTAGTGAGGATGGGTTGTTTCACAGCATTTAGGCCTCATAAGGCCCATTGTGCATACTCCAGGGGTATATAGATCCTGCCTTATCAACTGATCAAAAACCTGCTAGTTGACGCTGAGGGTTCTCTTCAGATAGCTGTCTTTTCAGCTCGTCAAAGTCCTGCAGGTTATTGACTAGATTTTTTAATAAAAGTTAAGACAAAATTAAATTAGTTAAATTTAAAAAAAGTTAAAAAGAAGTACGAATTTACCAGTGATATGTTAAACCTGAAGATTTATCTACACCAGTATATCTATACTGGAACAACTAAAAGTATTGCACAACGAACCACTATTTTAATTATTTAATTTTTAGTCTGTTGTAGTTTTTAAAGATTATTGCACTATAATCAAAAACACTGTAATGACACCTACACATAAATATTTCAATAAGGCGAAAGTGGTCTTACATATTTCCCACTTTTCCACCTCCCTGCATACTGCTGTTTGAGGAACTGTAATTTTTGCTGCTCTTTACTAACTACAGAAAACTTAATTTTTGAAATATTGTCAGTTATTGTTTCTTTTTTTAGGGCCCAATAAGTTACAATTTATTTTTCCTACAATCATTAAAAAAAGTAACGATTTTGTGTGTATGAAACATAAAATAAGTAAAAAGGTAAACATGAAACATAAAGTCTATATCAACTAGTTTTTATCAATGGTCATTACCAGACCTACTCGTAGAATCGTGACAAAATCAAAATTGTCTTGAACTGTCAATTAATTCCCGAGGTGTGCGCTAATACAGTCATCACTAATTCAGCGTATAGTAACAAAAATTATTGTTTTTTTTTTCAGTTCCAGAGCAAAAAAGAATTTCGCCTAAATTCGGCATGCGCCACACAGCAGGATGCATTTTCAGTCATGTTGATCCAGATGTTGTAACGAATTTTGGATTTCTGCCTCAAGATATGCTAGGAAAATCAATTTTTGATTTTTATCATCCCGAAGATATGCCTTTTCTTAAAGAAATTTATGAGTCTGGTGAGTTTAAAAAAAATAGTCGTTTGTGCAGCCAGAGTGGATATGCACAATTCACTCGAGTTGTAAAATCTACAAATTTAAACAAATATTTAAGGTTATTAAGACAACATAAGTATTTTAAAATAATTGACTTTTACTAATTCATAAAATGTAATAAACATAAAAACAATATTTAATTTAATTAGTTCTCAGTCCAAATTTAAACTCTGGCCTCTCTCGTGGAAGACCGCTACATTTAGGATCTTAGTTTTAATACTCGTAATTAAAATAAAAATGCTATTATTTATTGATTCTATACAAAAATAACTCATTTTAATATATATCTAATCTCAGTAAGTAACAAAAAAAATAATGACATTTAATTTGACAGAATTGTCTCTTTTTTAAAAATAGTAGAAATCGGATGACCAAAATATGAACTGTGTTTGGTGGATTTAATTGTTTTTGCAGTTTTTTCACTATCTAGAATGGATATGAAGTAATATATTCGTTTGATTGAACGCAATAGCATACTTTTTCGTTTTGTAGGCTGTTTGTAGATAAGCTAATATCCATGTGGGTGCAGAAAAAATAGTTTAAACGGATTTCTAGAGAGTCGTAAATAGATATGGATAAATCAGCAGTAATGTTAAAAAATTACTTAATAATAATAGTGCAATGTTTTGAATGTTCACATGTAAATTAATGAAATTTGGGATACTATAATAAACTGATAAAAATAAAGATGACGTCACTTTGTCATTCTAAATACTAAGTCTTTGAAATGCCTTTCAAATAAGGTGCTACCCACTATATGTTCCCATTCAATTAAATAAACCTATTTGACGTCGTTCTAACTGTATATAGTACAGTTTTCAACAATACCCGTACGCCACGTGACTAAATTGATGTTGTCAATTGACTAAAAGTAACATTAATAGCACAGCTTATACAATACAGCTAAAACACTCTCTTGGCGGCAACGGTTTGCGTCGATTTCGTCGCGCATCGCTTAAGCTCCGCCTTCGAAGGGAAAAGACGGTTTTGGTGTTCAGAAGCGTACTTAGGTAAGGTGTTGAGTCGTGCGTATAATTTCGTTGATTGTATAATTTCGTGGAGCCTATAATTTCGTTGATTGTATAATTTCGTGGAGCTTATAATTTCGTTGATTTTGTTTGAGTTAAAGGTACTGTTATTATTTTGGTGACTCTTTAGCTATGAGTAGAATGAGTGAAAAAAAAAAGACATCATTCTATTTGTGCAGTCAAAAGCTGTTTTAATAAGGGTTATACCTGCAAGAAAACATTATTTAGTTTTCCCAAGGATCCAAACCGATAAGTTTTACATTATAAGACATTTTCATTGTTAAAAATATAATTTATACAGGGTATCCCATTAGTGCGTTATTGTTCATTATTTTGTTGTAGACACGCAAGAAAGTTTTAAATAAAAGTTATATGGATTTGAAAATTACCTACATATTTTAAAAATATCTTTGGATATACAGGGTGTCACGTTTTTGCCTGGCAAATTAAAATGTATGTTTTTTAAATGGAACACCTTGTATTTTATTTTATGATAAAATTATTAACACCCTAAATTATTGTAAAGACGAATTGATACAGAAAAATTTTATCAGGGTTGTGTGTGGTTACCTTTTAATAAAAGCCTTGCGGATCCACTCCTCTGCGATACCTGTCTTAAATATAACAAAGATCACGTTGAATTAGATGATTTTTCTTTTTATTGCTTTTTAAAGGCATATGATAACGCCAATCCAGATACATTTGGAAATCTGCAACTGTCAAATGATGAATTTGTAGAACTAATATTCAATATTGAAAAGATATTTCAAAATAATTTTGAAGAATTGGCTACAAAAAATAACATTTGTACCACACTTTTAGAATTAATTAATTAATTTAATTACGAGTATTAAAACTAAAGTCCTGAAAGTTTCGGTGAAGATGAGGACAGAGCATCTGCCTTCCACGCGAAAAGCCCGGGATCGAATCTAGGCCGAGGACTAATTAATTTTTCATGTTAATTTTATTTTATAAATTAGTCAACTTCGTAAATTATTTTAAAATTAGTTATTTTGTCTAAATAACCTAAAATAATTTTTTAAATTTGTAGATTTTCGTTAGTGGGTCGTAGAAAAAATATACTGACCATATCGAGTGGATTGTTCATATCACAATCAGACGATTGAGTACTCCGTATACGACGTCGTGCTCAAACTTCGTCTTTGTGTGATATTGCTATCATATCCACCCTTGTTGAACAAACTATAATTTATTTGTTTTCTTGGTTTAAACCAAAACTTAAGTTTTACATCAGAAATAGGAACTAAATTAATTTACTTTTCAAGTTTTCTTGTAAAAATCGATATTACTTTCTCCAAGTACAAATTTAGTACCTACCTAAAATAAGTACTAATTATGTAATATCGTGTAATATTGTAATTCAAATTTCACATTACTATAAAGTTTCAAAATTCCCTACTTCGGTATGGTCAGATAAAAATTGAATATATTATATTAATAAAAACTGTCAAAGTATTACTTCTACAAATCTGTATTTCAATTAATAAGAATACATCTAAATATAACCAATATTGTTAAAATAAAAGCACAAATTCTTTATAATTTCAAAATACCATAGAGTTCCCAGACCTCAGTCGAAGCATTCGTTTATCTAGGTATAAACCCTTTGCGCGAAGAGTAACACTTGCCACTTGATTTGCATCCACGAGCGTGACACAATTCTTTAACAATTGAAGCCCTTGGTGTAAAAAGGATCCAAGCCACAATTTGTCGTGAAGTGACTGTTTTAGCTCAAAACATTTGTTAACGAGGATTTTACTAGCCACATACAAATTATTTTACCTCTAATCCGAAAGATGTGCTATTTTTCTTAATATTTATATTTAAATAATGTTTCTAATTATATTTGACAGATTTAAAACAAATTAAAAATTTAATTTCCCAAAACTTACTTAATATGGCATGTAACCAACCTTATTACGCCAAGGTTTTCAATTTTTTCAATAATAAAAAAATTGTTTAATCCGGGCCCGACTTTTCCCTCGAATCTAACAGAGATAGCACCATTCCGTCTTGCTTGGTTCTCGACCGCCAGATCAAAGACGCCGACACGGAGTTGTGGAGCTGTATTGTATAAGCTGTGTTAATAGCTTCAGCAGTAACTCTAAAATATTGTCATTGACCTATTTGTTAGAACTTAAGATGTCATAAGAGTCACTAAGCATTGTCATTTTTATAAAATTTCTTGTTTTACCAGATCACGTGTGATGCGAATATTGTTGAAAACCCGTTACCTATAATTATTCATTGTTTGATTTCCAACAATGAACTTGAATTTTCATGTATTAACCGAGTTCTGATTTGTTTAAATATTATTATAGTCTATGAGGTTGCGGTCATTTTAACTAACGTGTTGAGCAAAAAGCTGAAAATTTGTAGATTTATAATTTAAAACTAGTTGTATAATGACATAATTGTTACGACAACTAATTTAAATTTTTGAAAGTGCCAAAAAAATTAATAAAATTACCGTGTTTTTCCAAAGCTAAAACTTTCATGAAATGTTATTTAAATCATTTTATCAACATAATTACAACTGCCAGATCGCTCTGGCAGTTTCTAATGCTCACCAGACGGGTATACAGGATGGACCACTTATAAGTTCCACCTGATCTTATTAATTGACATATCGGAATATTTTTTTTTATAGTTTGGAGTAAGAACTTTATTATAACTAATTCAATTATTTTGTGTCGACATAGCTTTAGTACTTCCGGTTTTACAGAAATAACAGTAGGTAAATAGCAATTTTTTTTTTAATTAAAAGAAAACCCCAATTTTTTATTGAATATTCTAATTTATTGAACATTTTCTGATAAGAATCTTTTAATAAAAATGCTCTTTAAGCTGTCAAAATGGACGTCATATCGAATATTATTTCTAAATGAGTTACTAATAATTCGTTTAAAGAAAAATATTAATGGTAATCCATTACCATTATAATTTTTAGAAGCCTAACACCCGTATGCATGCATAGTCGATCGCCAGCGATTCGCCGGAGATTCATTCGGGCGTATCGCCAGCGATTCGCCGGAGATTCATTCCGGCGTATCGCCGGCGAAAGAAAAGGTGGCGACTCGCTGGAGATTGTCACCGGCATGTCATTTCACGCAAGTTTTCATGTTCTTTTATAGTGATTATCACCGGCATCTCTGGCATTTTATTATTGATTCATTTCTTAAAACTCAAAAAACAATGAACGAATATCACATTTTTCCCTATAAAAGAACTTGAAAACTTGCGTGAAATGACATGCTGGTGACAATCTCCAGCGAGTCGCCACCTTTTCTTTCGCTGGCGATGCGCCGAAATGAATCTATGGCCAGTCGCTGGCGATCGACTATGCATACGGCTGTTAGTGTTCCTATTGAAACTAACCCAAATTACGCCAGATGCGTATTTTAATATTTTTGTTATTATTTTTGTTATTATTTTTGTTATTATTATTATTATTATTATTATTATTATTATTATTATTATTATTATTATTATTATTATTATTATTATTATTATTATTATTATTATTATTATTATTATTATTATTATTATTATTATTATTATTATTATTATTATTATTATTATTATTATTATTATTATTATTATTATTATTATTATTATTATTATTATTATTATTATTATTATTATTATTATTATTATTATTATTATTATTATTATTATTATTATTATTATTATTATTATTATTATTATTATTATTATTATTATTATTATTATTATTATTATTATTATTATTATTATTATTATTATTATTATTATTATTATTATTATTATTATTATTATTATTATTATTATTATTATTATTATTATTATTATTATTATTATTATTATTATTATTATTATTATTATTATTATTATTATTATTATTATTATTATTATTATTATTATTATTATTATTATTATTATTATTATTATTATTATTATTATTATTATTATTATTATTATTATTATTATTATTATTATTATTATTATTATTATTATTATTATTATTATTATTATTATTATTATTATTATTATTATTATTATTATTATTATTATTATTATTATTATTATTATTATTATTATTATTATTATTATTATTATTATTATTATTATTATTATTATTATTATTATTATTATTATTATTATTATTATTATTATTATTATTATTATTATTATTATTATTATTATTATTATTATTATTATTATTATTATTATTATTATTATTATTATTATTATTATTATTATTATTATTATTATTATTATTATTATTATTATTATTATTATTATTATTATTATTATTATTATTATTATTATTATTATTATTATTATTATTATTATTATTATTATTATTTGTGATATCGAATTAGTTTTTTTTGACAGCTATGAACAAGAACTGTCTTATAACGGTAAATTCTAAAATTAATTTTATTCCTGTCGCATTCTATCATTAGAAGATACTGATGTGCACACAAAAGTAATAAATGTAATGATGCACAAAGTTACTGAAAATTAAATATTAACTGTATCTTGGAGACCTGACCAAAAATAAATGGACAAAGATGGACTGGTTGGACATTTAAATATTAAAACTTCTAAAATAATTTTTATTTTTTCAGTGATGAGAATGTGCCAAATAGCAGGATCTGTTTTTCGTAGCAAACCGTATAGATTTGCAGTACAAAATGGCACTTTTGCCAAAATTGAAACCGAATGGTCAAGCTTTGTAAATCCATGGTCTAGAAGATTAGAATTTGTAATTGGTTTTCACCGAGTGACAGAAGTAAGGTCGCGGAAATGCAATTTTTTACATTTTTAAAATTTGTTATGTTCGTTTTCAGGGACCATTAAATCCTGATATTTTTGAACCTCCATCCCGGGAAATAACAAAGACTTTATCTGAAGATATCCTTAAAGAAAGTAAAAATTTAAGAGGTGAAATTTTACTATTACTTAACAAGGTGAGAAAATTTTTATTTACAACCATATATGTAATGTTGTCATTACTAATGTCATTAAAGGTTGGGAAGTGTCACATTACACACCTCTACTTCCCGCCCCCATTTCATCTATTCTAGATGAATATTTTTTATATTTAAAAAAAATAACACATTTTTTTGACAAATTTTATAATACCTATTTAATGGCAAACAATAAAAACAACAATGAATTAAAATACAACAAACTACTTATTCATATTTATTATTCGCGAATTTAATATCCGGCTTTATCTGACATTTATTTATATTGGTGACAGTTGTTTACCCCGTAATCACAGTAACAATATATTTACTTGATTATTCTAAGAAAACCGCGCGCTTGGAAATTTGTCGTTAAATGTAATATTTTAGGTATGTTCAGAACGAAACAGAGATTTATTAACTTTGATCGAAATATGATGGTTGTAAATAAAATAGTATACAAACGTCGGTAGGAAGTTTCATTCCTGTCTCGAGATCATAGCTAACCCCGACGCTTCGCGTCTCGGTGATCTAACTAATCTCACTACAGGAATGAAACTCTTCCCACCTAGATGTGTAATACATATAGTCAATTTCAACAAATAAAAGAGTATATTCTTATTGTTCTTTTTTTTTAGTCTTCGAGTCTTTAATTCGTTAATTGTTATACCAGCTGTTTCAGAGTGTTGTTAATAAGGGTTCAGAGTAGATTTTAGGAGTTTTTTATAGTCCAAATACGTCTCTATTTAAAAAATAAATTAATCCATGTATGACAGAAAATACGATTGACCGTATCCCTTTGGAAAACAGCTACTCCTTTGGTTATTATCGCAACAGGCATTAATATGTCATCATGGTCGAATTTGGATAGATTCTATTGAAAGTTAATTATACTTTTGGTTTTGATTTTTGTTTAAAGATGGAGAATTTGATTTTGGGGGATGGTATGAAAATTTTGTTTGTTAAATATTGAATTTGATTAGCTATATTTTCATAAAATTGTTATTAGGTACTGAAAGTGTTTGGACGTTAGTTTGATTTTGTACACTATAATTATTAAATTACTTTCGATATTTTGAATTATTTTTTGGTTTAAATCTACGATGATCTGGCAACTCTACATTCATTTTCACCATTCATTTTCGTCTTTCTTTTCTCCCTTTTTTACATGTTCTTTCAAAAATATCACTTGTGCTGCGGTCGTCATAAGTTTGTTCTTCAATTCTACATTTATTATGTTGATTGTAACGTGCTGTATTTTTGCTCTATTATCATAAAATACGTTTTATTTGCTCATTTACGGTATTACTTACATCATTAATCTTTAACTTCAATATACGGTTATTCTGGCATTGTTAACTGCTCTCTGTTTTCCGTTTCTATATGTGTGAAAATTGTATCAAATGTTTATTGTTTTCTTTCTCCAATAAATTGCCGTTAAGTGCTCAATGTCTGTTACCACTGTATTTGTTTATTATATTGCTATAATCTGCATTCTTAGTATTTGAATCTGTTTTTAATTTATATGGTTTGTAAATGCTAACCAAAGTTTGCATTTTTTTTTTAATATATTTGTTTTCTCCTTGATAATATCTTTGCAAAATATTCTAACCAAATTGTTGTTGTTTTCACATTCAGAAAAACATGAAAAATCTTATCTTGTGCGCACGCACAAATAAATACTTTCTTCCATTCGTAACAGGCAGCTTAACATCTTCTGTTATCGTTTCTCTCAATCATACCTATAAGACACCTACTGTTATTTCATATGTTATCTATGTCCTATTAGCATAACAATAGATTCGTGTTAGGTCGAGTTTTAACAGCAACGAGGCAAATTCGTATGATAGAATTTTTTTCAAAACACATTACTGTTATTTTCCATCCGTTATGCTCTAATTTAACATATCGCCTCAACAGCCTCGAATAACATGGCGTTAAGTACCCAACGTCCATGTTACCACTTTTATTGTTTATTATATTTTTATAAATTCGATTTTGAATGGATTAATATCTTAAATTATCTAAGATTAATATACATTTAATTCAAGAATTAGATAAATGAAGAGATAAAGTGTATTGGGTTAACTGAATTGAACACCAAACAAGGCATATTAGAGATCACAGTATTCTTTTTGTAACTCCTAATGAGATTGTCTTCTATATTATGGACTTCAAAAAAAAAAAAAAAAAAATAGGTACAGTTTATGCAAAAATGTGGCCCCATTTTAATACTCTTCAAAGGCCAAGGATTGCATCTATTCCGGTTAAACTAAACGTCTAATACCTATATTGCTATAATCTGAATATAGTATATTTGAATCTGTTTTTCTGTTTTTCTGTTTTTTATTTATATAATTTGTAAATGCTAGCCTAAAGTGACCATCCGTTCCCAGCTAGCACAAAAACATCCCATCTACGTTAACCGCCGAATGTCCGCAACGGCAAGACTTTTATGGCACATCTCGCAGAGGTTACAAAGTGAAGTTCGAAAAACATCACACTAGCACTTTTACGGTACTTACACCGAAAGTTGCTCTGAAACGTTCTATAGATGTTATAATGTGAATTAGTTCTACAGCATTATACAGTGTGTCCACGGATGTACTTAACTATACTTGTGAAAATATTTATTTTAAATTAAAAAAAGTAATTCTTCATAATTTCTTTTGCTTTTTAAATAAATACGATTCACATTGAGAAATTATGAAAGATAACTTTTTTTTTTATTTAAAATAAATATTTTTATACGTATAATTAAGTCCATCCATGGAGACACTATATTGTTCTTTGTGTAATGTAATATAGAGAGGCTGAAATTGAGGTTTTAGTAAAATCTCAATCGACACATGAAAATTTCAAATGAAACAAAATATTACGTGTTGATTTATTAATGTTTAAAAATAACAAAACATCACAAATAATAGGAAAGCAACTAAACTAACAGTGACCTTATCTAATGGCAAAAAGTCTTACTTAACGTCTGAACCAAAATCGATATCATACAGGGCCGAATTTTAATTCTAAGGATGAGTGCGCTACGTTAATTTCCGTTATTCTGAAACAATAATTAGTCGAGAATTAATGAAGCAAATTTCAAAATTTTTTGCACATTTAAATAGAGAATAAAACCCCCTTTCAATTGAGCTATCACTCACCACCCCATGCCATTTAAAATTTTTCGAAAGGGTTGCTCCCCTCCAGTAAGGGATAAAATTAAGGGTAAACTATGCATACAAAAATGTACATTGTAGAAATCAAAAATCGACGTGTCTCGGTGATTTTCCTAACAAGACTCCAGTAACGAGTTAGATAGATGATCATTGTATAATCTAGGTACATATTATACTGATTTCTTGCCAGTAGATTTATGCGAAGGTGATAAATATTCTTGTATTGTAATCATATGTGGCTTGGAAATATTTTTATTTATGCTATAATGTAAAATAAATATATGAACAATTTATTAGAAGATGATAAATTATATTTTTATATAAAAAGATTTTCCTTTTCTACAACATATTGAATAAAAAAGATATTGACCAATTGGTTTAACTATTATTAAAGGAAATGATTTAAAAATTAAAAAATAGGCTCAAGTTTAAATCGTAGCACTTATTTTTAGATAAGTTTGTCCTACTTTGTTGTTTTAAGTAAAACAACCAATGTTTGTATTGAAATTTCTTTGAATTTTAAAAATTTTATGCTTGATTATGGATTTCCAAGTTAGGTATGCAGATTTTAAAAAAGACAATTAATGTTTAATAGCAAGATACTCGAGAGCATCATCTGTGATTTCTCTCAACTTTTCTTTTGGGTTTGTACTTGAACTGATGGTTAGATTTCCAGATACATTCAAGCCTGTTGAAAAGAATGAACTGCTTGAATTTTCTAAAGGTAAAAAACAACCACCAAAAATTTGACAAAAAAAAGTGATAAGTGACAATTGATATAAACATAAACGATCGGAATTCAGATTTTGATGTTCACAGCACTTCTCGAATTACTTTGTTGGCGTTGTGTTAACATAGCAGGTAGGTTAAATAGATAAGTATCTGTATTTTTCAGCCTTGAAAAAGACGAAAAATAAACGTCGAAACGTCGGCAAATTAAGAAGTAAATGTTTCCTTTTGGCACGTCTTCTTCCCACTAACCTCATACTCACAAATACATTTAAAGGACGAAAACTTTTACTGAATAAGTAACAAATGGAAGTTTTGCAAGCTTTTGATTTCCCTCAGCAACTTCTCATGAACGTTTCATTTACGTGGTATAGTAATGTTATTACGTTCTCTTAAAGCAACATCGCCGAAAGGCCGAAAGACGTTATGTGCTGGCTGGGTCCCGACTTAGGCGGGACAGTGCCGATTTTAATAAACCACTAGTCCCGATTTAACATGTGTCCCGATTTTATTCAGCTTTTGTGTGATCTAAAAAAAAATTATCTGTAAATATTTTATATAAGCCGCCTAAAAATTAATTTTTATGGTGATGTGACAACATAATACAACATAATTTTGTATTCTGTACATCAAAAAGAAATATTTTTTGTAATAAATTTAAAATATAACCAACTAATGTATTAGGGTTTAGTTTTATTATTTAATAATTGTTTCTTTGTAGTATAATGTTTTAATGTTGATGCATGTTCAGTTTTTATTTTATACTTCGTCCCGCTTTTTACTTTACAAAATGTGGTACTTTATCTAGCCAAAGGTTTGCATTTTTTATCTAATATATTTTTTTTTATTGTGAAAATAATTTTGTTTTTCCTAATAAAATTAAGTAGCTCCTCATACTGCCGAATGATAACTAAAAGTGTACGATACGATAGTTATAGTCGCGTTATAACAGAAGGCAGCACTTAACGAGGCGTTTTAGCCACTAATTTTGGCGAATTTTAAAAAATAATTTAGAAGACATTAAGTGCTCAAATTTTGTGATTATAATAAGAATTATGCTGTTGAGGAATACATTTATTTTCATTATGATATTTTAAAATTTAAAGCACTTTGATTTTTTTTCTCGGAAATTGGAAAAAATTAAAACTTTAAAAAATATGAATATTTACCTAATTTATTTTTCCAAAATTAAAATTTTTTTAAAAAATTACTGTTTGGGATATCCTTCTACGAAAATTATAAGGGGGTGCTGTGATCACCTTAAGCATCTTTGTAATAATCTAATTTACTACAAATTTTAAATCTAGATTTCACCTCTATTCAATACTAGTTATTCTGCACACTTTGATATTGTGGCTCATAACTGTAACTCTGGGTTTTCGGAATTTTGTTAAAAACACATTATTCGAAAACCTTTAGTTCGAAAATACGTTTCTTCGAAAAATTTTAGTTCGAAAACAATATTTTTCGAATATTGGTTTGTTTGATAAAGCTCGAAAATACTTTTGTTAATTTTTTTAAATTTTCTCATTTTATGTATACGTTTTTCGCGAAGCAACCCATGGTGACTCTAGACTGCACAGGTTAAGTAAATTAGTGAAGTTTTTTTTTTAGTAGTTACTCAGAACAAAAGGATAAGGTTTTTATTTTCTTTAATATATTATACGTTTAGATTCAACCAAAAAATCGCTTTTTCCAATTTTTTAAAACAAGTATTGTTCATGATAATAATATTTTTCGATGAAAACGATCTTCGAACATAACATTTTCGATTAAAAGTATTTTCGAATAAAAGATTTTCGAATAACCTCTCATTTGAACAAACGTAGGGGAGAGGGGGGTAAAATGATCCCCTAAGAAAAAAACTCCTTAAAAATGGGAAAATATTTTTAAAATTTCATTTTAAAGGATAAGTCCCTAAAAGAGTACTTTATCTTAACAAACCACCACGTTTTCAAAAAATATCTTTATTCACTTCTTAAAAATACATAAAATAAAAAAAAATAGCAAAGGGATCATTTTACCCGCATACTGGGGGTAAAACTATCCCTTCTACAAACAACTTAAAAAATATAATTTGCAAATATAGTATCAAGAAAAAATGTCTTTAAAACCTAATATTTTCCTGAACTGTGGCTAACGCAAAGGGAACATCGGAACAATGTTCACAGATGAATTCATCTTCGTCTTCTTCTACCCCCGCACACAATTCGTGAGCCTATTCAAAACACTTTATGCATTGAATCCATCCGTCAATTGAAGTAAAATATTCCTCGCAGCAGTAGAGACAGGATGCATTTCTCTGGTTGTCTTCTGAATCCGAAGAGTCGGAAAGAGTGTTTTTTATAATCTTTTATTGCTTTGTTTTTTTTTTGTTTGAGTGTCTTCTTATCATTTCCATTTTTCGTTTTAATAAACTTTCCTTTTGCTTCTTTCTTGTTGATGTCCTCTTCAAGAGCAGTTTTGTATGGCGTACTGGTTAAAACTGCACTTCCATAAGATTTCCTTTTTGTTGCGTTTCTCTTGCCTTGAATTTTAGGAAAAGGTTGACATTCTTGTGGTGTAACTATAAAAGATGAATTTATTTGTTCATCTCGTTTTGAGCTGGGTCCAGGCTCAGGATTCTTGTACAGATCGTTTGTTTCGCTAGAACCATTATCTGCTTCGTTGGTTGTGTCTGTCGATCAAACAAGCTACGTTATATGAACTGGATCCTTGAGCCATATCCTCAGCTTCATCATATTCATTCATGTTCCATTTGTTGGTATACAAGCCTTTAAGTAGCCCTCGCAAAATATTTGGCTAATTTGAAACACTTTCACGGTTCTACCAGGATTATGGTTCAACCATTTTTTTAATGATTGGTCTAAATAAACGCTAAGTGGACCCATAACAGCAACGTCCAACGGCTGCAGCTTGTGCATGCAGTAGGGAGGTAAACACAAGATGGTTACAAAGTTTTCTCTGGCACTTAAAATAACATCGAGATTTCTTGTGTGCGATAAATGTCCATCTAATATAAGTAACGCGGGCTCATAAATACTTGGCTTTACAAAAGATATGAAATAAGCAAACCACTGCTTAAAAACTTCTGTACGCATCCAACCACTTTCATTACAAGCAAAAATGGTACCAGGAGGAGCTCCGTCTGTTAGTTCGGCCTTCATTCGCTTCCTACTGAAAATAAGCATTGGGGGACAAAACTTCCTACAGCTGATACACAAACTACCGCTGTTGTCGAAAGTCCGCGCTCTGCTGTTACCCTTGCAACTTGTTTGGAACCTTTTTTTTTCTAATATTTTTGAATTTCGCCCGGGCACAGTAGAAATCAAAGTCTCGTCTACGTTAAAAATTCGGTGAGGGGCATAATTATTTTTTGCATAAATCTCTGTCAACAGATTATAGAACTTTGTCACAACTGATTTATTGAAGGCTCTCTCTCTCTCTAGCAGCTGATGTCGCTTCAGGACATCTCAAGAAAATCTCTGGATATCTTCTCCTAAAACCGTTCAACCAATCTTTACCACCAGCCTTTTTGACATGGGAAAACTTGTGGGGAAGTTTGTTTTTTTCAGCAAGCTGATACGCTAATTGTCGCAAATCACGCAAGATCCTACTTTCAAAATCTAGGATATGCTTTACTAGTTCTTGCTCTTCTTCTGGCGAAAATACAGGGTGGCAGCTACCAAGTGACTTCTTCTCTAGCTTCGCTACCTTATTTTTGTCCATTACACGCCGCTTGAGCGACATTCTTGGCACCTTGAAGATTCGCGCAGCGGTTTTCACAGGCATTCCTCGCTTAACTTCTTCTATGGAATTTTTCATATGCTTAGCATCCCAATTTTGTCTGTTGATTATTCGCTTATATGTTCATGGCATTCTGTAAGAGAGACGTAAAATGAATTTAAAAATCAAAATAATGATTTAAAACATTTTTGCAGGGGTAAAATAAAGGGATCATTTTGCCCGCCTACTGGCGAATCGTTTTACCCCAAAGTTACATGCATTAAGTTTTGTTAATTATAAATTTAGTTGCATATATTAATTGAAAATGGATAACACAAATCAATTCAACAACTCTTCCTCAACACAACACGATAAAAAAATATAAGGTAATTCACAGCGTTTGAAAACAGTACATTAAAAAACAAATACCTTACCTTATATCATAAACGGAAAAAAAACAAGTTCTCTGGTTACTAGTCGAATTCGAACTGATTCATGTTTCCGGTCGTTGTATCCTAAAAACCGCTTCGTCTAGTACAATGTTGCCAATATTACGTTTATTTTGCACGAAAGGCGAATTTTAAATTACAGGGATCATTTCAACCCGCGGGGATCATTTTACCCCCCCTCTACCCTATTTTTGAAATAAGGATTTTCGAACAAACGTGCTTCCAACAAAACTTTTCGAACAAAATTCCGCCAACCTTGCAATAAGCTCAAAAGGTTCGACTCTTTTTAATTTTACACACTAGGTCCTGATTTTCTAAAAGTTGGAGTATTTTAGTGTTAGTGTGTTTGTAACGTCTCTCCTAATGTATCTTGGCAATTTTCTTAATTTCTTCTAAAACCTAATGACCCAGAATAAGATATCTTTCAGATTTAATTTTAAATTTTTTGGGTTTGAAAGAAAATGTCAAATTGGTAAAATACGAGTACATGTTCAAAACTTGAGTGTACTCTGAACAGTAACTAATGTGACCGTGTCGGAAGCTAAAATAAATTAGCATATTTTACATATCTATTCTATATAATATGTGTTTATATATTTACATTTTGTATATTGTATTTTAAGATTTTTTTTTACAGGAATTACCACGTCCAAACGAATCAGTTAAACATGAAGTTTCCAAACGTTGCAAAGATCTTGCTAATTTCATGGAATCTCTTATGGACGAAGTAACTAAAACAAATAATCTAGAACTGGACTTACCCCAAGAAATCAATCCCACTATCTCGGTAAGTTTCACAAGAATGGTCTTATTTGAGGATAGTTTTGCTTTTTAACTACTTAATCAAAATATTAGAACCTACAATTAGAAAATACCGCTACGTCATATCCATTACTTCGAACTTCGAATACATATTATCTATAACTATCAATAAATAAAAAATAAGTTATAATAAGATCAAGACTAAGACCAACATTCTTTATCAACTTACCTATTAAAATTATGCAAGATAATTTAATAATTACACTGTGAGTGAAAACAAATCGAAGAAACTTAAAAAATCCTGCTTTGAAAGGGATCGAACTCACGTCACTTGTTATACCGTTGTAATCACTAGACTGCAGGTACACTTTATTGTCTTCTCGATTTTTACAAACTAAATGCTAAACTGTAGAAATCCTAAGTTTCTATGGTTTAGTGTTTTTGACGTTGGTACGGTATTCCAAGTATGTACCCAACCCAGAGCTGAATTTTTCAATTTTTATTTGGTTTGTTTTTACTCCCATTATCGTTTATGATTTTTTCTTTGTCACTAAAAACCAACAAATTTTTCATTTACCGTTATATTATATTTCAGGAACGAGACTCTGTCATGCTGGGTGAAATATCTCCATACCATGATTACTACGACAGTAAATCATCCTCAGAAACACCACCTAGCTATAATCAGTTGAATTACAATGAGAACCTGCAAAGATTTTTTCAGAGTAAGCCAAAAACAACTGTTTCGGAAGAAAGCAGTAATGCAGTGCAAGTTGAAAATAGTATTGAAGTTAAAGTTGTATCAACTAACCAGTAAGTATTTCACTTCAGTAAGCATTTGGGGGCATCTGGTAAACAGTCGTGAAATCTGGTAGAACTCATTGGTACCGTATTATTGGCGAGCAATTATTAACTTACTAAGAGTTCAACACTTTTTAGTAGAAATTTGAATTCGCGGTTATTATGTTCTATTAAGTTCAAGTCGTGCTTTTAGGTGCAAAATGCTTTTATGCACATCCCTACATTGTTCTGTGTTAGTATTAAAAAACACATCCATGTCCGCCCGACCATATTTGGAATCACCTGGTAGGTATAGCAACAAGAATGGTCGCGGTCTAATTGCCTCTCTTGCTCTTCTTTCTCTATTTGCCCTATTATTTATTTGATTTAATTGTTTATCACGTCCCATTTTCCCATACTTTCTAGCATGTTATCGCTCAATCTATCGCTAAACCTGATTTCTACCTCCACGCGTTAAACGTGCCATTTTGGACATTCAAATATAGTGTGTTGCGGATCATCTCTATTTTCGCAGTACATTCAGGTGTCGCTTTCGCTTTTTTTTTTTCACTTGAGGTAGGCCATAAAACACCCTTATCCCGTCAATGACTGCATCAGAAAGTAGTCAGTATGTCGGTACTTACACTGTACCCATGCTGGAATAAAGTTCTTGGTCCATTGTACACGTCTTTCACTTCAGACTACTCCTGGGGCCACATTTTTTTCTAGCCTTCTATTAATATGCTGCTTATTTACAGTTTCCAGCTGTTCTTGTGCCCCTCAATATCCGCTCACCGACCAACAAATGAATAGGAATGATTCCTGCCGCAACTTGTATGCCTTCTTTAGATGCTCTCCTATCGACCGAAGCTACTCTTAGTGCCGCTTTTTGTTAAATCCTTTTCAGGAGTTGCTTGTATGCCATCACTTTTATTGCATTCGTCCATATTGATACTCCATACAGTGGGATTGACTGTATTACTCCTATAATTAGTTCCCTTTTTCTGCTCGAGTATCCACTAAGGTTAGGCATCAGTCTTTGTATTTGCCGTAAGTGGTTTTTTGCTTTTGTGAGAGTTCTTCTATGATCTCCTAAGTTACCCCCATCATCTAGCGTAATACCTAAATATTTACTTCTCTAGAAGGCGCCCTCTATTTTGAATCTTGCCGACCTATTTCGTTTTCCACCGGTATTTACGGATTATCACCGCTTCCATCTTCTCTGGAGCCAATTATAATTTAAGCTCTTTTAGCCAGTATCCTATTTCCCACGTAGTCCAATTTGTTCGACTGGTTAGATCTTCCAGGCTATCTGCCTTTACTTGTATACCGAGGTTATCTGTGAATCCTAAGTACATAGCTTCTTCGGCTAGGGGTATTCTCAGTATTCCGTTGTAAAGTACATTCTAAAGTGTGGGGCCTAATACTGTGCCATGTGGTAGGACTCCGGTTGTGCTCTTTTTTACTTACTATTAATTTCTTATTACTCAACCGTCGTATTATGGTAATTAAGTAACCAGAGATTTGTCTTCTTTGTAGTTCTTTTTTAATTTTACTCGACATCGCCGTATTAAAAGAATTTTTAAAATCTAATGTTATTAGGACCATCCATCTACTTCCCGCTTGACTTTCGCAACTGTCTGAGTTGTCGACCTTAATATCGAGCTTGTCCGAAAAAAACATTTGCGTGGTTACTTTTAATCGCTTAAACTTAACCCTTGGCAACTTCTTCCAAAGTTACATCAATATTTTTGGTGAATGTGGCATAGTGTTAAGATCAAACCGGACCTTTGCAAAAAGCCAAAATGTTGTGAGGATTTTATATGCACCACTGGGAATATTTCACGATGTTATGGGTATCGAGAATATTAAGAACTTTAAATTTTTGCAACGAATAGGCAGCACTCTACAGAGACATTTAAGAAAAAAGGTGATAAACCCTCCCATTTAAAAACTACTTACTAAATATTTGTCAAGACAAAAAACAGCAAATTTAGATAGATTTAATATAGTATGGTGCGTAAATATATTTTTTAAATTCCTTTTAAGGTTTACAAAAATTAAGGTTGTGTTATTATTGGTATTTACTGAAAATTTAATAAAAATCCGACTAAAAGGAATTAGAAATTTTCAAGGTGTTCGGTTTATTCTTAAAACCGACTTCAAAATCGTGCAGATACCATCTCTAGATCTTGACCTAATTTATATGGACCCACTCCTGAGGTACCTCCTTTCTAACAATAAAATCTTAACACATTGGCTGAGTTGGTCATAACGTAAATAAAATAGGCTAAACGACTTTGAAGATCTGTGCAACATCTTTGTAGTTGGCGCGCATAATAATAGTCTGTAACAGTACATAAGGGAATTGGACAAATGACTTAATGCCCTCTATCTAATCTATAAAGGTATTTGTGTACCTTTAATAATTGCTTTTAAAAAACTATATAATCCAAATAATGTACTTATTATTACTGTGTATATTATAATAAATTAGATAATTTATAGTGTTTTAATAATAATTTTATTTTCTAGAAAATGTTTGTCTCCTGTACAAAATAGTGGAACATCGGGTAGTGGAAGTGCAGGAAATTTGAGTTCCCTTAGTAATCCAAACATCGAAAATGGTGCCACCACAAACACTAATATCAATACAAATGGTGATTCTTACAGACCACCCTTATTAACAGAATCTTTACTAGTCAGGTAAATAATTTCAGAGATTCATGTTTTGTAAAATTTTGGATTTTCTGAACGCCTTTGATATTGTAATATTTTTGATTCGTTTAAACCACGAGATTTACTTACAGTCAAAGGTAGATTTTTATTTGTGTTAAGTCGTCCTATAATAGGGGATTACCTTTATGATTATTTATTAAAAGTTAATGTGAAGAACACATCATATTTTTTCACTTGAAGTTTAGAGCATATTGTACATTAAATGAGATAAAACGTAATAGGAGCACAGTAGTAATAATACATTCTAAGGTCAAATTAAAATGAGTCCAATTCACGGTAGAATATAAGAAAAAACAACTTCCATTTAAAAACCAAAGAAAGCGTGGCTAAGGGTATGGTCCGTTATTAACCGAAATATCGGTTACTCGGTCCAAAACTAACCGCTCTGCTTGTTACTCAAATGTCAATTCACTAACCGGTATATTTTTGCGGTTTCCATTAAGTCGAATGTCAATCTGTCACAAAATTGACGTAAATGTCAGCCGTGGTCCAAAAGTAACCAAGAAATTAGGTTTTTTCAGGAACCGCTGTCAAAAAATCCTGGTTACTTGCGGTTAGTAGTCGGTTAATAACGGACCATACCCTAAAATTGATCAGTGTCACGAGTTCGCTAGTGCATCAATGGCATCGAGATAGAATAAAGAAGAGACGACATAAACACTATTTTGCTGTAATTAAAATGGCGACTTTGAGTCGTACTTTGATTTATTTGAAGTCAATAATTTTATATTTAAAGACTGACGGAATAAAAATGATTTTATATTATTTAAATAAAGCTATTTAGAAAAGAATGACATCTATTCTCATCAAAACTGACTAGTTCCACTATCTCGAGTTTGTCATTGTGGTAAAAGTGTAATGCAACGGTGCGGATACTTTAGCATCGTCATAGTATCTCTTCTTTATTCTATCTCAATGATCTACGGCAACAGTGCTGCCAACGGCGAGGATTTTCCGTGCTTTTTCGATAGTCTTACCAAACTTATAAACTGTTATAAATTGACGAGTATTATTCAAAGTTTATAGCGTTTTTCATTTAGTAGAGTGCATTATTGCATTGCAAAGTCATATTTTAAAACATTTTCTTGATTTTATTAGATGCATTAAACGACGAAAAACTACTAGACTAATTTTGTTTACAAAAATCAAATTGCAAACATTCCCGGTGTCATCCACGTAGTTGTCAAAATATTGTGACAAAGTATGGAAGAGTTTTGTTACAAAGATTTTTTATGGTTATAATTCGCTATTGACTAAATAGTCCAGGGTAGTTAGGAAAAATAGCGGAACTTTTTTCATACACCAGATATCGAGATGCGGTTTTCTGCATTGTGTTCAGGAAGGTCCAGGAAAAAAAGTTTACATGGTCTGGTTTGCCGCGTTTTTGGAAAAATGCCTTCTGGGCCGGAAAATGCATTTTCCAATTGCATCGTAACTTGCACCATTATAGGAACGACTGAAAACTCGGAAAAATCGCTCGGAAATCATTATTCGGGGGTTTTCGGGGCTGCCGAACTCGATTGTGGCATTATAATTACCCGGGGGTGCACGGGGGTGGCTCTGTGGGGGTGCGCGGGGGGTGAATTGGGGGAGAAATGGCAGCGTGCATGAAAGTCGCTCCAACCTCGTTACTCGGGGGGTTTCCGGGCTGCCGAACTCGATTCTGGCATTATAATTACACGGGAGTGGCTCTGAGGGGGGGGGGTGCGCGGGGGGTGAATTGGGGGAGAAATGGCAGCGTGCATGAAAATCGCTCCAAACTCGTTACTCGGGGGGTTTTCGGGGATGCCTAATTCAAGTCTCGCATTGGAATTACTCGGGGGTGGCTCTGTGGGGGTGCGCGAGGGTGAATTTGGGGAGAAATGGCAGCGTGCTTGAAAGTCGCTCCAAACTCGTTACTCGGGGGGTTTTCGTGGATGTCTAATTCAATTCTGGCATTTGAATTACTCGGGGTGGCTCTGCGGGGGTGCGCAGGGGTGAATTGGGGGAGAAATGCATTCACGGGATGCGACACAACCTCAGCATTTTTCTATCGAAGGAAAGTAACATTCTGCGATTTGTTTTCATGGTGATTCTACAGATGTTTTTCAGAGGTATTGTCCCCTTTTCTTTCCCGGAACTTTTTTGCGGTGCGAATTTGATGTTTTGTTTCGAAACTTTTCGGTCTCTTGTAGTTTTTTTTTTGTATCTGCGACCGTTATCGAGGAAAAAAAAAACAAAAGACGATTTTAGTCACATGTAATAAGCCAAAGAATTACTTTCTTCCGTATGCACGTACTATTTAAAAACACCCTGTTCATTTTATCCAATTTTTTGAGAATTAAATACATCTTGGTCCAATTTATATATTTTTTTAGACACAATGAAGATATGAAAAAAATTATGCTAAAGAAACATAAGGAGCACAGATCAACTGTTAAAGACAGCAAAAAATCTCAATATAAAGTAGAAAAAGTTGATAAAAATGAAGTAAGTACATGTTTATGAAAGATTAGCCCAAATTATAGTAATAATGTTAATAATCATAATTAAAAATAATAATTATTAATAATATCGATTTATATTAATAATAAAAGTAACACTAACTTTAAACATTTTAAAATAATTTTATTTTTGTTTATTTAGCAGTTTTTGGTAGATTATACACAACACGGTACTAAACGTAGTGGAACTCATTCGCAAGATGAAGAAAATCATAAAATTTCCAAACGCACGTCAAATCACAAGGATGAGACACATGTCAATAATTCATCATCCTCAATGAAACCAATTAACATACATAACAATCAACAAACTCCTGCAACTGTACATTGTAACGAACATTCGATTTATCAATCAGGGGTAAGATATTTTTTCTATTTAATATACTTATATATGTATTTTCTATAACACAACAATAATATTAACAAAAATAAATTAAAAAAATTGTAATACACACGATGTGAAACAAAAAGATGGAGTTTTATAGAGTTTTAAAGTTTCAAATTGTTTGTTTTTGCCCCCAATGTTTTTTTTTTAAATTCAATTATTGACTGCATCAGAAGATGGAAAAAATCAATTGGATTCCAATTATACTGTAAACCAATAACTGTCTGCAGTACCGCTTTGGTATATAACACAAAAGTCATATTGGTGCCCTTTTTCTCGGTCTATAATAAAATATTTACTGTATGAACTCGTGTAATTTTTTTGTTGATATTTAAAAATATACACATATTCTATTAATTTTATAATTTATATTAACAATTAAAATATTGTTTTTAGTTAAATGACATAAACTTATGGCCTCCCTTCTCAGTAACTGTTACAAATATGAATAATACTCAAGCCAACACTGTGAACACAACTTTGAGTAGTACAACAGGTTCTGGAAGATTTGGAACTGGAATGTTTCCACTATATTACATCCCCACTCCTCAACAGAGAACAATTCCTAGTCATTTGGGTGAACCCGTTCTTCATGGATCTCAATACCAAGGTATACTTCTCAATATATAAATAAAATAAAATTAAAAAAAAGTGTTGCATGTGTTAACATATGTCTCAAAAGTTTTGGCAGGTACAAATTTCTCTAATTTTAAAAAGTAAAAATGGTTTCATTGCAATTTTTCAGAATAGGTAGGTTTAATTAACAGCTTTATAAAAACATTTTTATTTTAAATTAAATTTAAAGGTCCACGGTCTTCAATAATATGCAGGCTTTCGGGAAAAATTTACATCAATTCTTGGATCGTTTCAAGAACAATCTGCCGAAAAAAAAATGTTGCCTGTTTTCTTTCCCCCATCGTATCCATTTCGATACAAAATGGACCAGAAATTGTCTCACGGTAAATTTGGGGGGTTGCAATTTTTCGGTATAAAAGGTATGTTGTGAGTAGAAGCGCCGATACCGTGGGTGCTCAGGACTCGAGAACTCACGAGAGGTAACAGCTGGACAGGACACTCATGACCACAGACATTAAAAGTGATTGATAAACGATTTTATTATTATTTAGTTTATAGTAACCTTTCTAAATAATTTTTAAGTATAATTTATTTTCCTCACCGTATGCTTAAAAGCATGAGATTTTGCTACTAAATAATATACCGTTTTGATAACTGATAACAAACTTTATCTAATAAAAAAAATAATGCATTGTGCATCGTAAGTACCTGTTCGTATCGCCTTTTTTCGGTTGTAACTTAAAGGGCTAAAAACAGCCAGCAACCATAAGATATTTAATTTTTTTTTTGTTTAACAAATCATCATCATGGGGATTTCTAAAAGCCGGCGTCCCTCGTTTTGAGCATTCATCTAATTTTAAGTGTCACGTGCAGAAAGACATGAAGCTGTCCGGCCAAATTAATCAATTTTGTTGAGCAATCATTGTGAATATAACTTTGAGTGTCCATAGCTTCACCTCTTATTCATCCCACATAAGGTCTGAAAATCGCATCAGTTGATATCGCCCACCCAACTATAACTTTGTCAACAAATTTGGACTTCTGTTATTATTTTAAGTTGTCTGGATATTCTTTAACATTGTTGGTGTATAACTCGTCTTTTACTTCTTTTGGAATTACTCAGAATAAAGTATACTTTTCTTTTTTTTTTTTGGAGTGAGTGAGTAGTAGGGATTAAGTGTAAGGGTTAAAGAAAAGGTCCTTTATTTCTCACAAGTCAATTTAATTGGCGACCGGTTTCGAAGCTGTCACTTCATCATCAGGCACACCTAAATGGAATGTCAAGGAGTCAGTTGTAATAAAAAAAACAATTATAAAGCATGAACGGACTTTAACATATACAAAATAACAGAAAAAACAGAAAAAACACAAAAAAAGTTAAACAATAACCTTGACTCACCTTGACTATTTCCATAAAGGAAGCGCTACATAAAGTTTAACAAAACGAGTTAAAAAAGTCATATGTAATATAATAGTATTTTTTTAAAATATTGTAGGTTAGGTTATCTTAGCGTTATCTTGGACGATTTTTTCGAACCTTTTGGAGAACCTGATGCAAAAAAACTGTGGTATACCTTTCTAAATTAACAGTTTGTCTTCACTCCAGTACTACAGTGGAAACATGCTCAGTAATTCCAAAAAAATGGTGACAATCTTTTTTTGTCGGCTTTTTTCACGATCAACTTTTGATGGAGCCGACTCATTCTCAAAGACGCAAACTGACCATTGTCATAATAATATACCCACGTTGCATCCCCTGTAATGATATTGCATTCCAAATTAGATGATTTACGATCAAAGCGATTTAGTGTAGATCTGCACCGTCTCACACGTTTTTCTTTTTGAGCTCGAGTGGAATTGTGGGGAATCCAAAGAGAACAAAGCTTACGAACTTTTAAATGTTTGTGTAAAATAGGGTTAATCGCTTTCACACCATCCTCTTTATTCTATGTTCCAAATAAGATCAATATTTTTCTGTAACTGGCATTTTTGGCTTAAAAGTTCGAAAAATGTCGTTTATGGAAAGTCGACCACGTTTTACGATAGCGAAGGAATACGACTTGATACTCGATTGATTTTCTTAAAACTTTCATTACAGTTTAAGCCAGGCTAGACATTGTAAAAAATCACAGCCCGATAATGCTTTTAGTTTATTTTTATCACTTGACGAAAGGATTGCTTTAAACTTATGTAACTTACAAACAATCAGCTGTATTTTACAACTGTCACTAAGTAAACTTGTAAACAACTAGATTGAAATGTCAGACATAATTTTTTGCAAAAATATTATCGCCTACCAGATAGGCTCGGCGGAAAGACAACAGCTCTACATTTAGATTACACGTTTTAAAAAAATATAACTCTATAATTTACATTCTATTTATTAAAAAATATTTTACAGTTCAATATATGCCTGCCAGTATGGTCTACAACTACAATAGTTTATATTCCCCGTCACCTTTCATTTGTTCCACTCTCCCTGTTTTACCTCTTCCTATGGTTCCGCCACCTATTAACCCTATAAATCCAACAACAGACGTTCGTTGTATAAATTTATTACAAACTATAAATGGGGTGCAGAATGTTTCTGGAGTTTCCGAGAGCAAACCAATTACACCTAGTACCCCTCATACACCATACTTTCAGAGGCCGTCTTCTCATGCTACTTCGGTAAAAGCAGAAACTGGGAGCGTTTTGGGATCTATACCGTGTGCTAGTGTGGCTAATAAAGTAAGTATACATTTACAAATGTTTAATTTATAAAACTACCCCTTTATTTTCAATTTTTAAAAAGTACCAGCTAAATATGTTTTTTTTTTTTTATACTGGTAATGGTACCTATAGGAGTTTGGCATATAAGTTGGAATGCCACACTTCACATTAATAATTTAGATCCATTTTATTGGTGGCCTGTATAAGATTCTTTAGATTGAAGGTGTTTGTTAAAAAGTATGGTTGAAATTCAAATTCATCTGTTTCCACTAATACTTTTATTGCTGAAGTTCACAAAAATATGATTTTGTACATCACATGGACACAATAATTTATTCACTAAAACAATTGTTAATGTTTGTTAGAAAACTAATGACAGCCATTTAAATTGTAATATTTTTGTATTAGAAATGAAAATGCCGGTATGACTACAATATACCTTGTGTTTTCAAGCCGCGCGAGAAGCTTGGGTGATGTGAAAAAATATTTCGGTTTAAACGCGAAGAATCGAGCTATCTGGGTAGCGTCGGTCATCATCCCTGTTCGGTAGTTTTAATCAAACATCCGTTCATGAGATTATCTATTGGTTTTTGAAGGTTTCTATCGCTGACGAGAGAGGGTGATGTAATCATCTTGTTGGTTTCAAAACAATGGAGAAAATTCCAAAGAAGGTGCTAGAAAAACAAATGTTGAAGTTTTCTTCCCCACACAATTCCAGTTTTTATCCACAGTTATTGATATACCCAATATTATATACTTATTAATTAAAATTAATGGATCAAACAACTTACCTGAAGGAAGTTCGATCCTAATTATGCGAGCATCCTTGTTAGTGGAAAGATAACCATGTATTATACTTATGTTGCGCCCTTGTTTAGATTTAAAATTTTACGCCACTCTATCGTTGCCTGTACTACATTACTCATTACCTGTTGTGGAGCCTAGGAGTTTGGGGTTAAAAATAATATAAAAATGGTGGAAGTGGGACTTTATTTCCACTAACAAGGATGCTCGCATAATTAGGATCGAACTTCCTTCAGGTAAGTCGTTTGATCCATTAATTATGCTTCACATCCTTGTTAGTGGAAATAAAGATAATTATGTAGTTGTTTAGAGGATGTTCTATTCAAAATAAAACTAGATTTTTGCTTTCTACGTAAATGTATACAATAGAATATGCAAAAAAAATATTACTATAATTTTCCACAAAATGATCAATAATAATACTAATGAACTAATCATTAACAAACGTAACAAAAAATAATATTAAATTTTAACAATCCAGTTTTATAATTTTTTAATACTTTTGCGAACGTTGGTTTTACATCTTAATTGTAAAACTTGTTAAACACTAGTGATCTCTTTTTCCTACAATTTTTCTAATGGTTTCGATATTGACGCAGATTATGAGGACGGTCGAGGTACATATGTATGTGTACTAAGTGCTTGGGGCTACCCACCCAATAGTTTGGGGAGATACTGGATGGACTGGAGCATTAGTGGTTAGAATAAAAGGTCCTGGAGACCTGTGAGACTTTGTTTTTTTTTTCCCATAAAATAAAAATTGTTTTTGCTGAGCCTAAATTGAGGTAATTCGTGGAGGAATGAAAATACTAATAAAGGCTGGGCTCGTTTGGAGTCAAAGTTTTAGCATTTCGTCAATGAAAATTTGTATATTGTTAGCTTCCACCTTAACATTTTCAACTTTAATTTTTGAGAAGGTCTATACCCGTTGGGAAATTTTTCAAGTGAAATAAAACTACTGAAATATTTTAAAACTGTGTTTTGATCTCCAGTTTGAATACATTTTAGCAAAATAGGATGACCCTCTTAGAAATTTCCTAATATACTTTTTCTTTTATTATTCAGGATTTCTATGGTGAAAGTTAAGGACTACTTAAAATGAGAGCTAGGGCAGAACTCTGGTTATAAGGAGTTCTAAATGAAGGTTTGCTGCAGTGAATAACTAGGTTTAATAGAGAGTTGAAGTGATGTTAAAAGCGTAAACGTATACGTGAAATTTGACATCTGCGCATGCCTATTAAAATATCCTTCACGTTTACGTCTACGTACATACGTAAATTTACGGGCTCTGGCGTATACACGTAACGCAAACAAAATAACCTCTTTTTAATTAGGCATTCCAACGACCTGTCCAAATGGCTACCAGTGGGTAATGACAGTTTAGATATGGCAACCCTGTTGTCATGCTGTCATTAACAGGGTCAATGATACATATATAGTTATATAGATTGCTCAAAGCTGGTGGTTTACGAGCGGCCATATTGCCTGGCAAATATTTATTAATTTGAATCGGTTTAGCAAAAATGTGTTTTAAAACCAATTTTTAGCCTTTAGATATTTAAAAAAAAATAATTGCTTACATTTTTACTTCAAGGCATAAGCTTATGTTTATTTTGAAAAATATGGATGATCAATCTATGTAACTATCTATTTCATTGACCTTGTCAAATCACCAGACCTACAGGGTTGCAATAATTTTGCCATATCATAACCCGTCAAAACCCACTGGTAGCCATTCAGTTTGGAATGCCTAATAGGAAAAGTAGAAATCCCAATATAATATGTCATTAATTGTCATTATTTGTCATGATACGTAAATGTCACGATGCGTTTAACACAATGGTTTAACAACTTCAACTCATATTTTGTACAGCAACGTAAACATTATTTTTCTGCGTTCACGTTCACGTTTACGTTAATGTACTGGAAATACTTCAACTCTCTAATGTCGACATGTACCGTAAAAAGCAATTATTTGTTTATTGATTTTTTTTGTAACATGGGATGGTTGAGTTTACCAATTTGGTACAATCATTATGCCTTCTGCTTGGCCTTTCTAATTTTAGTACTTATACAAGAGATGCATCAGCTACGTAACAATAGAGATAAAAAACACTTTTTTTATGTATGATGAGTCATAGAGATTGTAAAGAATCAACCGTTGTATTACAATGTTTAAGACATTCATCACTAAATTTAGATGTAATTAGGAAATTGTTAAGGTTATTTCCAAAAACCTTAGTTGATGCACTACCGGTTTTAAAGTGTTTGCAAAATTACTTTCCTTATTTTTTATGTATTGAGATGAGATAAGAGGCATCTTTAATTTAATTTTTGACAAAATTGTCCTGTAACAAGATATTCTGGGCAGACCTGAGATCTTCCAGTTTGAAATGCGAGAATCTATATATTTGTTAAAGATGAATCTAAATGAATCATTTCATTTGGGTCTTAAAAAATATGAGAACCAAACTAATTTTCTTTAGCAAGCAAACACCTGTTGCATTCTTTAGTTTTTTTTTTTTTTTAAAGTGTGTATGTTAGTTTTTCTCTACGAAAAAACATCCTTTGGTGAAAGCTCTTTTGTATTTTGAGATTAATTTAAAACCTTTAAAATATCTTAGGACCTTCTTATCATTAGTTAAGTTAGCCCACATATTTTACAAATTTTTTCAGTCTACCAGCAATCTCTCTTACCTTTATTTCCTTCCCTAATAACTCCTTCTCCCCTCTCTGTTTTTCTGAATACTTGTTGGTTCGTCCTTTGGGTTTTTTTATTATTTCTCCTGCTCTTTCTCTGGCCTGGTTTTCTTCAGTCGCTATTTAAAAGTAGGTGTCTGAAGTTTAAAGACTGATTGAAATTATTGTTTGCTTTAAGTTGGCGCCTTTAAATTAAATGTATGCTAGTTTTTTCAAATGCTTTGTCTGACTTCCATATCTCTACAAGATTCTTTCCAAAATGAAAAACCATCGATATCTGCATTTTCTATCATATTTTTCACATTTGTGTTTAAAGACGGATATATATATATATATATATAAGGTGCCTACGATGCATATATTCTATGGTAGATGTCTGATAATACTTTTGTTACATTTCATTTGTTTTGATGCGTCTATTTCTGTTCCCTCCAAGCCTAGCTTAAGGAGGTTCAGCTAAACTTCCCATCACCTTCCAAGTTGGTCTTGCACCATGTATAAATATCTGTCGGTTTTATTTGATGACATGACTAGTCACTAAACTTTTTGGTTCAGAGTTTAAGGTGGGGGACCCAAGTGAAAGTATTCCAGATTTTGATTTCGCAAAGAAACTTTGATATTTTGCCATTCTCCAAACCGTCTTGCAAATATTTTCCCAAATTTTTACCAGCTCTTCGTTGATTGGTTTTCCGAGAGAGATGTTGTTATTAGGATCCGCTCTCAGAATATTCTGATACTTAATTTGATCCTTACTATTCGAACGTCTGTTCTGGTGAAGATGACGAGTTTAAATTATATACCTTTTAGATTCTGATTCTAAATCAACTTAAATCTATATTTAATCAATGGCTAATTCATGTGCACATAAAGGGGCATTTTTTTTAAGGTGCAGGATTTACCCATACATCTGTGTCCATACCACATACTTTGATTTTCTTTTACTATACCGAAAATGGTCGCACTGCGCAGCTTTCTGAGTGCCTTTTAAAAGGAGATAGAAAACTCCGCCATTTTGAACCCTTATTACGTGTTGCCTACATCTTGGCGCAATATTTTTAATAGGTGCGTTTTAATCATCTGCTTCTGCTTCGGAATTGTCGGTTTTCTTGTTTTAATCTGACAGGTTAAAACGACTAAACCGACAATTCCGGAAGCAGAAGCGGATGATTAAAACGCACCTGATATTTTGCTTGCTGCTGTCAGTGTCAGTGAATATTATTTTTGAAGTCACAGTTTATTGCCAAAGAATCAGTTAGCTCACTCGGACCAGTTGAAAGTTCCAAAATAACATCCACTCCAGGGATACAAATTCAGGATACGCAGAAGACTGCTGTTTTATTATAGGCGGTTGTCATATATTGTATTATCCGAGTTGCACAGTGTATAAACTAAAACATTGAGATCCAAAGTGCCGACGCAGAGTGAGCGATCTGATTCTTTAGCTGTAAACTGTGTCACAGGGTTCAAAATGTTGGGCGTGTCGGACCTCTCTCTTGCCTCGTATAGTAATCAAAGTATGTGGTCCATACAGTAATATAATCAATGAGCTTTGCGTAGCATTTTTGCGTCCTTGCATTTTATAAGCATAAGACCAGAGTAACCAGACATTTATTTGTCTATAATGCAGAATTTTCATCGTACCTACATTCTGCTTCCAAAGTTTTTTGAAGTTTACACTTTAAGTAGCATTTTTCGCAGTGTTGTTAGCCGGGCTAGCATCTTATAAGTATAAGATCAGTATAAGATCAGTATAAGATCAGTATAAGATCAGTATAAGATCAGTATAAGATCAGTATAAGATACATGTCGTTGGCTATAATGCAGGATTTACACATAAAGTAGTATCTGCCCTCATCAAAGTTTTGCGAAATTTGCACATTAAGTAGCATTTTTCGTTTTGCAGATGGATTTTATGAATGACTGCACCGTTAACACATAAAGTAGTATCTTCTGTATATTTATTTGTCGTCTAAATGCAGAAATTTACACATAAAGTAGTACATTCTGCTAACAATCAATCAATCAAGCTAACAATCAGTTAAATAAAAAGAAAAACATTATTTTCCTACCTTAGTTTTCACTCATGTTTTTATAATCGCTGAAATGTGGTCGGTTTAACGATGTGAATTAGGCGACACAATTGGTAATAAGTAATGTAGTACAAGCAGCGACAGAGTGACGTAAAATTTTAAATCTAAACATGTGAGTCAGCGGCGCAACATAGGTATACTACATGGTTATCTTTATTTCCACTAACAAGGATGTGAAACATAATATTTTATAATTGTACGTTTTTCTGACAATATAAGATTAGCTTTATCAGCAGACGATCATAAAATAGTTATGTTAATAATACAGAATGCTAAGGAAATAACTACCGTAAAAAGGATCGTTCAGACAGTGCCACTAAAAGGGAGCACTAACTATTTAAAGCCTCGACGCCTTGATGTCGTGACGCTATTAAGGGCAACTTCAAAATAAATAAGTTCTTAAAATGTCACCCTGTATTATAACTAATTAAAATTATGGATTTTTAAAAATTTTTTACTTAATATTAGTTCGCGAAATATTTAAATTTTTGCCATGAGATTTTGTAGCAATTTTGAATAGTGATTGTAAAAAATATATATTTTTTAATTCAGTAGAATAGTTTTAAATTGTAAAAGAATAAAAAATTATTTTCAGTGTTTTCTCGTCTCAAATTTAAATTTTTATCAATTCATGAACTAATGTATTTGCAATATTGACTTATCTATAATGTTAATTTCAAACTGTCACCGTCAAAAAATCTAATACATCAATAAAAAATATTTGATGTATCCAACACATGACTTTCAAATATATTGAGTACGACCCATCTAATCAAAAAGTGCTTAGAATAAAAATTAAAGATAAAAATATTCCAAATACATTTTCTTCGAAATTGTTTTTCATATTTTTTATGCCAACGAAAAACACTTAAAAAATTAAAAAAATTAATTTTCCACAAAATGATAGAGAATAACATCACAAGCAATTTTTATTTGAATAATTTTCTTCTCTATTCATAAATAATAACAATATACCTTAAAGTAGAAAAACGCCCCATAAAGTACTCCCTTAGATGCTTCGACTATGTCCAAAATCTAATCACCAAACAACCTTACGATTTTGCGAATTTTTCATCTCACAAATTATTTTTCATTCCTCATTTTCTACTTCGTTTTCGAGAATCAGAAAATTTTAAATTTATATATTTATTTACTAACACATTTGTATTCTTTTAGCCCGCAGAACCAGCAGTACGAAACAAAATTCCTTTAGTATTCAGGAATAACAATGTCAACAATATAGACGAATCTAGTAGTTGTTACTCTTCATCATACTCGTCATTTTTAAAAACTGATGGTGGTTCTGGGTCCAATGACGATTCTAACGTTGTAGATACTAGTTCAAATAAAACCAATGGGGTAAGGAATTTTTAATTTAAACTGGAAAAAATAGGCCTGTTAAATAAATTACATAGATGAGTAGGACTAAAACTGAAAAATCACGGAAATTGAATGTTTTACAGAGCTCAACCAAGAGCCCCTTTTTTGTGACAAATTGCGTGAGGAATAATTATTAATTTTAACTTTTATGAAATATAGAATGTTCAAAAAGTTTGGATCAATAATTGTTTTCTTAGCCCTTGTTTCTATGTCAATGGCTTATTGTAATTAATCAAAATAAAGTGTGTTAATTAATAATGATAATCAACTTATTTTTGTCTTTAACATAAGGGAAGATATTTAGAAAATTATGTATTTATGAAATTCACTTTATGAGCCTGTAGAATGGAAACAGGGACGTTTACAAGAAAATTATATTTAGCTTTGATCTTTAAGTCTCCCAGTTTACGATACTTTATTCTGAAACAACCTGTATCAAATCTTTAAAAACAGTAAAACATAAATAATTTTTTTAGAATGTGTGGAAAATTAAAAAAAATTGCCCAATGCGAAAGAAGGAACCACCGTGGCTCGAATCTTTGGAAATTTCACCAGACTTAATCTACAGATACCAAGTGGCAGTAAAAAATTTAGAAGATATACTTACAGCTGATAAAAATTGCCTTAAAGAGTTTTCACAGGTAAAAACACAATTGTTATAGTTATTTAAATTTTATTGTTTTGCAGCTAGAAATCTTTCATGTTACAAATCAGTAAACTTTAATAAATCTTTAATAGAGTGATGTTTCACGAAGTGTAATTTATTCACGATGCGAAAACCACGATGATTTTAAAATGTCATTCATCGTGGTGAAAACCGTTCTTTGTTTGTGACAAATAGTGTGTAAATAGGCGTTTTTTAATATTCATCGATGCCATCTAGCATTCATCAAAATGTTTTTTTATCCATCAAAATTTTTTAGATGAGCCATGCATCGTATTCTTAAATTCAACCTAAATTATCAAATGGTTGTCACCAAATCTATTGAGTCGATTGTGTTGATGCACTGATGATGGATCACGTGACATAACCCAAAAGGAAATGCATCGAAATTCTTAATAATATGAATTACTGTGTTTTATTAACCCAATATCTAAGTGGGCTAACTTTTAAAATAAGATTCTCAACGTTAAATATAGAGCAAGCAAATGAAGGCAAGTACATAAGTATTTTTTCAATTATTGTACAGTATTGCTCGAAATAAACAGTACTGAACTTGTAATTTTTTTTTTATTTATAAATATATATTATTGACACTTAAGTACAAAAATCGATTTGTGAGATGATTCACATGAAAATGTGCTTCCTCTGAAAACAATATATTTTTCAATAACTCAGGATTTTCATACTGTAACGAGAATTCTGGCACAATATTCCTCTCTACTGCGATAATCCCGATGATGTAATTGTTGATGTACCTGAATCACATACGAAAATGCACCCAGCTCCTTCAGGATTCTTTGCAAGGAAGTTCTTTTTATACCAAGTTGCAACGCTGTTCTTTGTTCCAAAACGCGTTCATGGTTATTGTTGTTGTTAATTGTACTGGGACGGCCCGAGTTTCCTTTTCGTTGGCACAATACATTGCCCGTATTATTAAACTTTTCAATAACCTTTAAAATTACGTCATTACTTGGGAACCTTTATTAAACCGTTTTGTGAATTGATCACTCACGTATCGCAGATTTGCATGGTAGCCGATTCCGTTTGAGCAAAAATAATACTCTGCCAAAAACACTTTCTCTTCTGTAGGTACTTAACACCATTTTAACATGTATGCCCTATTAATTAACTGTTTAAGGTTTACTTGACATGTCTATACTAGCTAACTTGGGTATAAGTGTGGGCGCAACTTAGTTTCAGTACTGTTTATTTCGGGCAATAATGTATTACCCATACTTGTCTTTAGTATTTGAGCCGTTTATTTTGAAAGTGGTCTAAGTCCATTTGTACTTAAATTAAGATATCTAAGGGTTTGTGTAAATTTTGTTTAACAGCAATAATTTAACGTACTAATTATAACTAATGCAATTGCCCATTGCAGCAGTCGGTCATTTTACCTAGTCTAAGACTTATGTGATCACGCGATCTATCAACAATACATCAATTTGTTGAATATTAGAAAACGCCTCATCACAATTTTGCCAAAACTTGCGTGACCTTTTTGATGAACACCAAAGCATAATCCACTATCTATTTTTACATACCTACCACAAAACTTATAAGTAAATACCACAAATGACATGATATGATAACAATATGACGCAGGTAAAGTGATAGAAATACTCCAAGTCCTCTGACAAAAGAGTATCGCATTTTTAGTTACAGTTATGAAGACTAGAAATAGTTACAGTTTGCACGTGTCTTCTTATTTCAGTTACGCTTTGTTGTTGCTTAGCAGCGTAAACTTTATTAAGGTGCGTTTACACGAATACAAGAAATCACTTTAAAAAAAATTAAGATTACGTCATACATTTTGTCTACAAATACTAGAACAATTTACGTTTGTACTTTATAAATAAATTTCCCAGTTGAAGATTGGTTTTTAGCGTTTATAGAGTTTTTAAAGATAATCCAAAGCAGGTGCAAATTCGTGAAACAGATTCTTTGTTAAAAATATATTATAACAAGAGACCAGAAAATATTTATTGGGAAACTCATATAAATTTTTTTAATCAATATAATTTTCTTCACAACAGGACTCTGATTCACACTCATTACTACTTGCCGTTGTACCTAAATTAATATTATTTCTAGATCAGAAACATCTAATTGATTGTATTTTTTCCAATCGCAAACAATTATGTTTTTAGTGTGTATTACACAATTGTCTCACTGAGTATCGGTAACATTATTCAAAGCTTCTGAACAAGTCTAAAATACATCTTCCGGTGACTTTTTTGTTAAAATTTGTTCGTCATAAAACGTTTGCACTGGGATCACACCATCTCTATAGCATTGTACTGGCTGTGATATGGAGGAGTTCTTAATATTTTACGCCTATATTCCTCAACATATCTAGGTGGAATTATTTTCGTGGTAGATTTTGACGTACAACTTTCCAAATCTGATATTTCATACCATTGATTGGATAGTTAATGTTCTTTTCCTGCAACCATTTTCCCATTTTATCTTTGTCCAACTATAACATGGAATTGGTTGAACGTACTGCGAATGATAACTGACATTATCGTAGGTATAAATTTCGTCTTACCCCATTTTTCAAAATTGTCTGTGTTCATATCGACGCCTCGTAGGTCAAATGCCATAACCCTCAAAATTATGAAAATGGATTTAACCCTCATTTCGGATGCACCGGGTCAAAATCATTAGTAGACCAAAGGATGTAACCAGCAACCTAAATTTAGTGCTTTAAAACATTCAAGATAAAAAATATTATATCACCTGCAAGATGTTTTAAGTTTAAATTATATTAGGTTTTTTCACTCTCCTGTAAAATTTACATTTTGAGGGTTACAGGATTTAAGCTATGAGGTGTCGATATTATGGTAATCCCCGGTTTTTGTTTGACTTTTAAATATGAGGTTTGAATTTTTAATAAACCCTTCTTCATTGCCACCATAGACAATTAATTATATATCGAATTCCATCTCCTCTTTTTATACTTGGTGTAGCCATCGTTTTATCTTGCCAACTTTTTCTGTCACTATTTCCGCTCCCGTTCACTCCCCGCCATTTCCCTATATTCCCCGCGCTTTAGGGATACTCCAATATAGAGAAGCTAACATCTTATATACAGGGTGGGCCACTGATAACACCTTGGTCTGTAAAGCCACAACCATGTGATTTTTTAAAATTTGTTTTCACAATGAGATGTATGTCCCAAAAACCAACAATTAAAAAATAATTTCAATTATACAGGGTTCTTCAAGAATGTGATACATATCAAAGTTAGGTTTTTTAAATGGGACACTTTATTTTATATTTGAATTGCCCTCGCTTTTTCGATTATAACAATTAAATAGTATGAGATTATACAGAGTATACGCTAATACCAATTTTACATGAAAATCGTATTGATCTCAATGGCCTGTATACTGCAAAAGAAACAATTGAAAACCAATCATTTGTGGTAAAAGATTTTCGATAATAGTCAAATACCTACATACTTTTCTCATTTTGTTTAATTGAATTTTATATCACCAGCAACTTTTATTTGCCGAATTTTTTTCTTCAAGCGTAAATAACATATATTCCTTAAAGTAGAAAAACGACTCTATAAAGTTCCGAATATACCCAAAATCTAATCAACTCATTAGAGACACACAAACACCTACATATACGTATGGCCATATTTGTGACAAAAGAAAAAGAAATTAGGATATATACAATTCAATGTACGCTCATTAACCCTCCAACTAGAATGAAGATATATAATGCTTGGCATTCTATATTATACTCTTCACAGTTTAACAGACCCTCCTTAACCTCCCATTTTTATTCAATTTTTGTTCAGAATCAATATGCTTTATCCCCTTATAGAGCTTAATTTTTACTAAAGATTTTAAGTTAAAATCGCTAGTAGTATAACTAGTAGTCTAATACTCCATATTGCAGGAGTGCTAGTACTTTAATACACGCCTACAGACAGGCCTTGTCACTGTTTCTCATCGCCATTTTAGGATCAGAACTGGCAATTAGAACCCAACAGTGAATGGTTAGAGTGGAGAATCCTACATACGGATCAGAATTATTTTTAAATAAATAAATTTAAAAAGAAGACTTAAGGTACCATTTGGGAACGAGCGACAAACGACAAGAGACCGAGACAGCAGTAAGGCAGCATATTTTGCCATACTAAATCTGCTGTAGTCGGTCTCATCTACCGAAATGTGTTTCATTATAATTACGTGTTCAGACGTGAAGAGACCGCTTTTGGTCTCTCGCTGTCGCGTCGCGTTTTGAAGTCGGTCTCGTCTTGAGAAATAGTACCTTGAAAATATTTAATGACATGCTGGGATAGAAAATGGATAACTTAAAAATTTTTGAAATATTTATAATGTCCGACAAAATTGGAATCTTACCTTTATTTTTTTATTGTTGCTTAGAGTTATTAGGTACTCTGTCACGCAACTAAACAAACTGTTTGGGTTTTGTATTTAATGCAAAAACAACAATACATTATACATTTAATATTGTTATAAAAAATCAGTATTTACTTTAATCGTAGCTACGTGTTTTATTTTAAAAAATATTTTTTTGATCTCTAAAAGAGCTAGTTTTTAAATTCTTTCTTTAAAAAAAAACAATCCTTTTTTCTTCCTGTGTTTTTAATCTCAAACACCACCTCATACAACATTTAAAATAGTTATTTCTATGAACACTACTAGGTTCCGATTACAATAATTAGAAGGACACAGCTACGTCATCATTTGGCAAAGTATGTAGTTAATTAATTATCGCCGCCTACTGGGGTTAATATTATAGAAATCTAGAAAATATAGTAATTATAACTAACAACTTACTTATTTTTTATTTATATATAGTTATAGATAATATGTATTCGAATTTCGAATGCATATTATCTATAACTTTCAATAAACAATAATTAAGTAAGTTGTTAATATTTCCTATATTTATATAATATTAACACTCCACTAAACCCCCAATAAAACTATATAAAGTCAATTTAATTACGAGTATTAAAGAAAAAAATTTAAGCACCTCGATGGTAGTGAGTTCAGAGCATTTGCCTTTTTTCTTGTTTATTATATTTTATAAACTAGTGAAAGTTTAAATTAGTTATTTTATCTTAATAACCTAACATAATTTTTAATACTATTTGCAGATTTTTATTAGTAGGTCGTAGAAAAAATATGCTGTACAACTCGAGTAGATTGTCCATATCACACTCAGACGATTTAGGAGCACTCCACTAACGGCGCCGTGCTCAAATTTTGTCTTCGTGCGATATGGCCATGAACAAACTAATATTGTACCTGATATAAGAATTAATTAAATAAACCTAAATCATTACAATACTTGTTAAATTCATAACATATACAAAGATAATAGTTTTATTGGTTGAATTGAAAAATAAACTATGCCAATTAAAAAATAGTTATTTAATAACGAACAACAAAATATTTAATTCCCGGAATTAAATCATATTAGGAATTTCCAGTATCATCTATTGTTCTCTAATATTTTAATAACAGGTAAACATGAATCAGACGACAGCTCTAATAAGGGATTAAAAAGGGATAGACACGAATTTGTTGAAGCCGACTAAAATAGTTTATGCGCGTTAATCTAATACAAATTCAATGTTTTATGACAAATCGTATACCCCTATACGGTAAACAGAGATATCAATCAAGTAAGAAAGGGATATGGGAGGTATATTTTATGGTATTTGTTGTGGCACTGCTTATAGTTTTTGAATTTTATGTATGTAGGTATGTTATGTAAAACTATTCGAGTCCATTGACTGTTTTTTTGCTTGGAATTCCAATAGTTTTTTCTACCTGGTATCATTGATTCCAAAATAGTTAGCTTTTACATCTTACAAAACATAAACTTAGTAAAATTATCTAGATAAAAATTGACCTCTTATTTTCATATGTAATATGCATATACATACACAATTTGATTTATATAAGTTGGTGCATTCCAAAGTTTCTCTTCTTTACGCGCTTGTTTAGATTTTTTGATTTTTGCTAAGAAAGTTAAAATGGTTTATTTGTATTTTAGCATACTATAACTTAAACTTTTTATGACAAGAAAGGTAATTTATAAACTAGAAATAAACTTTTCAAATTTCTTCCTAAAACGATACTAATTCCGGGTCTGCTTATGTAAATTTCTCAACGGTTGAAGGCTTAAAAGCAGAAGTAGAAAACTATTCTTCGATGGTTAGATATTTTTAAGTTCCTTTACTCACTGCCGGGGACCGCCACGTCCCGGGACACCTTCATTGCGGAAAGTTATACCCATCTTTTTCTTGCACGAAATGCGATTCCTTGTGTGTCAGACGCAAGTCTTAAGACGCACAGACGAGAAATTCATTAGATTCCGAAAGTTCACCCTGCCAAAAATCGTAGACTTGCTACAACGACGCGTAGTACTTCTGATTTGACCGTTGTTTCCCCGGCAACGTTTTGATTCTTAAACACCCTCACCCGTCCGATTCAGTTTCTAGTTTATTTCCCACAGTAAACGTACACCGGCATGCCGACGCGCATGTAGCTCAGTCTCTCTCGCACAATGTGACGTCATATTCGCACCTCGCATAAATAATTCGCATTTATCTCAACGATTTAAGCCACGATGAATGACAATAATTATTATTTTGGCCTATCTAAAGTACTTTTGTTGTATAAATTATAAATATTTTTACGGTTGTCAGCACTGTGAATAATATTGTAATGGAAATTCCTACATGATTTCTTTATAATAAGTTTAAAATACTTAAAGTACCAAAGTACCTAACCCATTTTTTTTTAACTAAGACAGGTTATTTTTATATAATTTAAGTTTATTGTTAGAAAAATGAAATATATTTCAATGGAAATACATTATTTATTTAATAAATTTGAAAATCAGGCATTTATATTTCATAAGTTTGTAAATTTGTAAGTTTTAAAATGCTTAATACATATGTTCTAATTTAAAACACATTATTTTTAAATAATTTAAATTTATTTTCATTAAAAGCTCCATTTTACTAAGATCTATCTTACCCCAAAAAATAAAATTAACAAACTTGGTGCACAGAAATGTTACTTTTTTAAATTAGTTACCTTTGGCATTTTTGTAAATTTCTTGTGTTCTATGGAAAAAAATACTTGTTTTCTTGTAACTTCATCGCTACATCAACAGTATTTGTAACATAAGTAGGTTCTTCTAAAGCCTGGCATTTTGAAAATGATGGCTGGCTCAAAATAGAGACTATAATGTCTTTATTTTCTGTCTTACGTTTCATCTTATTCACTTTCACTAGGTGTAACGGCTAGTTTTTACCAAGAAGGTTTAGTGTGGGACGTGCACCCTGCTTTAAATTGCGAGCATTTTTCGGAGTGTAGTTCAATAATTTTTGCTTTAGAGGAATTTTAAATGAGTCAGGTGCAAAATGAATAGAGCACATACATGCTAATAGAAAGTTATTATAGAATTAAAAAAAGAGGAGTAATGTACATTTTGATTAACAAGGAAAACCATTTTATTTTCATAAAACCAAAAAATTATTTCAAAGCGCGAGGAAAAAAGCATCAAAATTAATGTTTCACATAACAACAACGATTTACTTACCACTTTTTAAATTTATCTTATCATTTCGTTTACACGCTACAACCCATTCTTTAGCAATGTCGCTCTTGGGAAATAAAAAATATTTAATTTGGCTTCCTTTAGTATTTTTGCTAAAATTACGACAACCTGCCACAGCACAACCAGGCATTTTTTGTTAAAAAATATATTAAAACTTTAGGTAAACTGACAGTAAACTCAAAACTTCGTAGTTCTACTTTCAAAACAATAAGGCAGAAATAGGTGCGAGCGTGACGTCATGCGCAAAAAGCGACTAATATGAACAGGCTGTGTAGCATACCGGTATGAGTTTACCGTGTTTATTTCCCTTATAATTTCCCTTAAGAATTCTTTTTGTTTAATTTTTGTTCAGGGTTAGATCCAAGAACTTGGGGAGGGCTTGTAAAAAAATATTTAATTAGAGTATAATATAACCGCAATGTGTGTTAGTTGAGGTAGTTCAATATATATATCAAACTGAAACCTGGCATTTCATTCCCTTGTTGCAAATCCGTTTTCAGGTACTACCTCAATATCGTTGACCCTCTGGAATTTTTATTTAGTCACTGCAGCTACCTGCAGCCCTTTTTGGAACTTGTTTCAAAAGATAAAGTGGAGCAAACCACTCTAAAACAAACTGGCGCCAGAGCACACCCTGTTCGAACGCCACAAGTAAGAGTATTTGTAACTAGTTGAGAAAACCTCTCACAAACTGGGACATGAAAAACCTCCTTCCCCTGTATTAAAATATAAATAGTAATCAAAAAAGACGTCGTGCCACTTTTTACAGTCAGATGACGGACTATAGATAATTTTATAGGTACAACAAATAGTTGAAGCCGATTAAAAAAAAATAAATTTCATTTCATTTTGTATAAATCATTATTATACTTTTTTAATATATTTTTTTAATATATTTTTTAATTTGTAGCCTGTACTAGTGAATGATCAATTAAATCAGTTATACGTAGATATGGAATTAGAAGGCCTATCAAAAAAATTGACACTTGAAGAAGGAATAACTTCAAGCAGTAGCAGTGACGATAACTCCGCCAATCTACCTAAGGTATATATAAAAGACATTTATATCAAATTAAAAAAATGCTAATATGTGATCTACTTTGATGGCTAGTTTTTCAGATAATACATTTTTTCACAATACAACAATATTTACATTTTACTACTAGTAACCTAATAAACTTCATTTATCAGAAACTATAATAAATATACCATTTTTGTCCATATAACGATTTGTCGTGCAATCGCCTAAAGTCGACTCTGTGCTTTATTTACCTTACCGCGCCACAGTGACTGCCCGCTGGCGAGATCGAAACCCGCCTCGAGACTCGAGAAATCGACTCGAATATTTTTTTATGCAGTCCGACGCGAGGATGAAGAATTTCGATTAGCTTCTAGACCACCTAGAATCTACTAGAGCAGGGCTGGATTTATATAAATAACGCGACATTGTTTAGCAGTTGAGTTGAAGTTTTTATACAGAAGTTTCAATATAAATGTTGTCAAGTAAAGATAAATTGTAAAAATAAATAAGAAGTGTGACTTTTAATTTTTAATTTAAGTATTAAATAAATAACTAGAACATAGTGCAAATAAATTATAAATAAACTATTTTAAATAAATAATCTATTTTTAAATTAAACAATCGTTATATTGGTGTCAGAAGTGAGATCGTAAATTATTAGTGGACAAAAATGGCTAAAAAACTGTATGATTTAAAAGTGACTTGTAAAAGAAAACAGCTACCAGAGCGGTTTAAAGAAGCAATGGAAAGGGAGGGTTCGGATTCGGAAATGTATCTATTTACGGATGATGCGTCTTCTATAATTTCTTCAATTTCCGATATGAAAAGCGATATGTCTTATTTAAAAACCGGTATTTCTTCTGATGTGTCTTCTATAAAAAATATTTCCTGCTTAGAAACTGAAGTTTCTTCCGACATTTTCTCCTTGGAAACTAAAGTTTCTTCTGACATTTACTCCTTAGAAAATAAATTTTCTTGTGATATTTCTTCATAAAATGAAAAAGTTTCAAACTAAAGTTTCTTCGGACATTTCTTCCTTAGAAGAAAAGTTGTCTTCTGAAATTTCTTCTATGGAAAATAAGATATCTTCAGTCGCTGAGGAGAAAATAAAACAGATGCAATAGAAGATACAAGAGATGGACCATAAAGAACAGTCCAAGGACAGTGAAATAAAGTGGAGGTGAAAGTTAAAATAGGAAGAAACTGTAAACTCGACTCGTGTTAAAGCCCTAACTTTCGACAGTAAGATGTCATGGACCAATTACCTTAAACAGTTTGAAACCGCTGCCAGAGCGAACGAATGGTCTAATGTGATACCACCAAATAATTAATACAGGGTATTCCATTTAAAAAATTGAGAAAATCGTAACCTTACGTTTTGACACACCCTATATACAACATAACAAATGAATGATGTCAATTAAAATTGTTTGACGATGTGAAAACAATCAAATATGTATAACTACCTGCAGTGTACATTTGGTTAGTACCTCGTTTATGGACCATCCTGCATATTAAAGAATAATTGTTAAATATGGTCATGCAACTTCCAAATTAATTTTTTTTTCTTATTTTTAATAATAAAACAGCTATCGATCAATTACGCACTGATGGGACACCCTGTATATGTGTTATTGGCTTACATATTGGTATCATTGTATAGGCAAATTTATAAGGAATTTAAGATAATAAACAGGGCAATTGAAAAAATTAAGTACATTGAATTTATTTAAAATTAGCTATATTTAAGACATGTCTCAAAACACTCTGTACAAAATAAATCAGTTCTATCACCACTATTCGTTAGTTTGGTATTCTATAAGTCAGTATATTAAACAATTTTAAAATCAATATAAACCTACTTAAATTACGATAATTTAATTTGAGGTCTGCATCATTATCTAATCTCAAAAAAAATTAATTGCTTGGCAAAACTGTAATATTTTTTAAAAACATTCTAGGGCTGAATGTAGTATTACCAAACTATTCTAAAAATAAAATACAGGGTGTTCTATTTAAAAAAAAACATACATTTTTTTGCCAGGCAAAAATACAACACCCTATATATCCAAAAATATTTTTAAAACATGTATTTCTCAAATCCATGTAACTTTTATTTGAAACTTGTTTGCGTGTCTATAACACAAATTGAAATATTGAACAATTAGATACTAATGGGACACCCTGTATAATTCAGAGTCATGCGATCATAACAGAATATTGTAAATAAATTAATCCACGCGTGTGAAGCCGTGGACAAAAAAGTTTGTATTTAAATATAAAATAATAATATAAAATAAATATAGTTCAATTCATCAGTTATTGGGACTAAATGGCTTATTGCCAAATATGAAAAAACTAATAGACTAATCCATTCATTAATAATTAAACCGTTATTTACTTGCAAGTATTCAGCTCGTGTTTTATGATCGCATCTGCTGCCGCATTAGAAAGGGTGAAACGCCTACTAAATTGAGTGGGGATAGTTTATGTAAGCACTCGTTTTATAAATGAACCAACTCGTACAATATCGATTCTTGCTTTACTCCGTTCCCACACTGCTAAATAAATTGTGTACTTTTCTTAAAAAGACAACAAAAGATATTAACTGGCATTAGGAATACAAATTTACTTTCTTAACGTAATTTTAGAAGTCTTTTATGCTTATGTCAAGTACGTGCAATCATAAACAATCATTTAATAGCGTTTTCGACTGGCTACACTCAGTTCACACTCGTGTAGTGCGAGTTTTCGTTTCTCAGCACTGGTTCAATTTAGTAACGTCATGCAAACTTATTCCAACCGAACACGCAGTTGATCACCCAGTGCTATGGAGGGTAGAAAAAAGGAGGACAATCTTATATGGATCTTTATATTAAAAAGTGGCTACCAAAATGTATACAATTAAGATGGCGCTCGTGTAGCCAGGGGACAAAATCCAATGCTATATAGTCATATAGATTGCTCATTCATAATTAAATCAGACAGGAAGCAGTAAATTGAGACCTCCGTGCCATTTTAATATAAGAATTATTTATTGTTTATATTATTATTTTTCAATAAAATTTGACTATTGTCGTGTATTGTCAAAATTTATCTACGATCACAGAACACTTACAGCCGTATGCATAGTCGATCGCCAGCGACTCACCAGCGATTCGCTGGCGATCCGCCGGCGAAAGCCCAAAAAGCTGGCGACTCGCCGGAGATTGTCACCGGAATGTCATTTCACGCAAGTTTTTATGTTCTATTATAGGGAAAAATTTGATATTCGTTCATTATTTTTTGAGTTTTAAGAAATGAATCATGAATAAAATGCGAGAGATACCGGTGATAATCCATATAAAAGAAAATAAAAACTTGCGTGAAATGACGTTTCGGTGACAATCTCCGGCGAGACGCCACCTTTTTGGGCTTTCGCCGGCGGATCGCCAGCGAATCGCTGGCGAAACGCCGTAATGAATCTCCAGCAAGTCGCTGGCGATCGACTATGCATACGGCTATTACTCTTCTACGATCAGTCACTTTTCACGGTGTAGTTTTTAGTTTTTTATGGTTGAGCAATATTTATTACTATATACATCATTGGTGTCATTGTGTGATCTGAATTATCGACTGTCGACGTCCCCTGGGGGTCGATTCTCGACTCGTAGGAATTTTTTCCTATTAGGCATTCCAACGACCTGTCCAAATGGCTACCAGTGGGTAATGACAGTTTAGATATGGCAACCCTGTTGTCATGTTGTCATTAACAGAGTCAATGATACATATATAGTTATAAAGATTGCTCAAAGCTGGTCGTTTACGAGCGGCCATATGGGCTAGCAAATATTTATTAATTTAAATCGGTTTAGCAAAAATGTGTTTTAAAACCAATTTCTAGCCTTTAGATATTTAAAAAAAAATAATTGCTTACATTTTTACTTCAAGGCATAAGCTTATGTTTATTTTGAAAAATATGGTTGATCAATCTATGTAACAATCTATTTCATTGACCTTGTCAAATCACCAGGCCTACAGGGTTGCCATAATTTTGCCATATCATAATCCGTCAAAACCCACTGGTAGCCATTCAGATTGGAATGCCTAATAGGAATTTTTGACATTTTTCTATACATAGAAAATTTATGACATTTCCCTACATATAGGAAAGTGTCACAAATTCCTATAGGAAAAGGTTCCTACAAGTCGAGAATCGACCCCCTGGGCACAGAAGCGCCATGTTAATTGTATACATTTTGAGGGACACTTTTTGTATACAGAGATTGTTCTCCTTTCCTCTATCCTCCATACCCAGTGCATTATATTGTATTTGACAGCTATCATCTGAGTGATAAGTAGAAGTAGTACCTTCCAAATTGCAAACAAGATCCAAGCCAAGCTTTCATTTTAGACATTTATTTAATATTGTTATAGAAACTTTTATCAACAGATTACTATAAATATACTTATGTTTAAGTTCTTAAGATGTCAACGTATACTATGCATATACAAGAACATTTATGGTACCTAACTGGGAGTCATCCAGGTGCGACACCACCGATTTAATGTAATCTTTTATTTTTGGCAGTTTAGTTTTATTAAACTTGGCCTTAATTAAATCTTCTAAATCTGACGAAGAAGTTTCCAATATTTCTTTACAAATTCTAAAAAATTTACATATTTTAGAAAAAACTCTTCATTTGCCATCGCCATATTAGTTACGACTGAACCACAATATATCCCCTATAGTAGTGCATCTCACTTGTTAAAGAGTTGGCACTAAGTTTGCAGCGCAAAAATGCGTATGCATCTGGCCGCTCAACTAACTCGATATGGCGGTAAATTCAAATATAATTTTAAGGCGAAATTTAAAGAGATGTTTGTGATAATACAGTAACTGCTATCGAATGTTGTACAATACGTTTTGCTAATGTCCAAGTAAAAACTACAAAGAGTTAGCATTAGTGGGAGAAGAAATAGAATACTATGAACGTAGCCAGCCGACTACGTGGGGATGCATCATACCGTTTGCCTGTTCATATTACACAGCACACAAGGCAACATTCATATTATTCGTTTCCTGATCGAATTAATGCACTAACTCTTTAGTTTTCTTTTCGATGCTAGCCAAGCGTATTGGAAAGTGTTCATTAGCCGATACTGTATATAAATGCTAAAATCAATAAGTGAAATAAAAAAATTTAGTTTAAATGGACATCTACTTCGAAAAAAGGAGAAAAACTGAAACAGTAAATTATTATACTTGAATTTTAAAGGCTGTTGCCACTGGAAAACTATTATTTAGAGCTTGGATAACAGCCATAGGACTCCCTCCTTGAATCGTGTCCATAGGAAAGCATAAGATCATAGTTAAATTATAATATTAAGAGGGTAGGTATTAACTGAAAAAATATGAAAAATTATTACAAACTTACCTCAAAATTGGCACCTACATTAAAAAAAGGAAAAACGGAAACATAAAATTGTTATACTTGAATTTTAAAGGCTTTTCCCATTGGAAAAGTATTATCTAGGGCGCAGACCATTGGATGACAGCCATAGCAATCCCTCCTTGATTCCTCTTTTTCTGAGTTTGTTGTACGTTTTGTTTCCCATATTAAATAAGAAAGCACTTAATACAACAACACAAATCACAATAAATATCGCTGAAACAAAATTAATATTAAATTTCGTAGAAGAAAAAATCAAAAAATTATCACTTGTCAATACTGACACTTCATGCTTCGCTTGTCAAAAACTTCCTCTTCAACCAATGAACGTGCCGATATTGGACGTGTCAAAATTCAAAACGATACTAGCGCCATGAGACCTGTGTCTGGCCGCAGCGTAACTCAAAGCCATTTCTTGAATTCCAGTAACATTACTATAGGGGATATATTGTGGACTGAACTGAAACTGAAAACCTGTCTCTAAACTCGGTTCACAAAAGTGCGCACTAGTTTATTTTTTTGAGTTCAACTGATTCCAACCGAAAATTCAAAAACTGACCCGGTTCGCACTGCTCTTACGAGTCGAAAACAAATTTTGCACCGAGTGTTAAAAAGTGCGCAGCAGTTTCACCAGTCGAAAACGCCATAAGAAGACTCACATAATAATTTGACAACTACATGAATAACACCGTGGATACTTGCAGTTCGATTTTTGTAAACAAAATTGGTCTAGTAGTTGTTCGTCGTTGTTTATAGCCAATATTAACAAAATACATTTTTTCAGATAAAGAAAAAACGAAAGTCTTGCTGCTCATTGGTAATGATTTATGAAGAAAACGCTCCATTACCATCTCCTGTGGATCGTTTCAATTAAGTAATGTTCAAATTTATACAGAAGTACGAAAATAATATTAATATTTATAAAATATATATAAAAGTATTTTTTAATACTCGTACATTTAAGCATATATAGTCCAGCCAACGAAAAGGTATAGAAGGAAATGTTTGGAACACAATTTTTGACTCCCCGCGCGTAGCCTTTGAGCGACATGACCACTCAATATAAAATGAATGCCTATTAAAATTGATTCAATGTTACATACTGTTGTAATGTTTTATGTTAATTCACTTTTCTGTGTCAATAAACGTTGTTTTCAGTTAATGGTTGTGATTTATAAAACCATCTCACTGTTTTAAAGACACTCATACATGCAGAAACATGGTCATAATTTCCCAATAAAATGGTCTAGATATTTTTTAATTAAGTATGAGGAACCTGGTCAGAGGGCCCACAACTATATATTCTAAAATGAGTATTTGTGCTATTTAGATATCCATTACTCACTTAATTTATATGTGAATGGTATTTTTTCTTTGCAATCTGTTATATACAGAACAAAACTGGACCCTACTCAAACAAATAGTTGAGGAAGACTTACTTAAAATTCACAAATGGTTAGAGTCGAAAATTTAAACGGTTAATTTTGACAAAAAATAATGTATTCCCTTCTGTTGTAATGTATCTACTATTCCAAATTTCAAGGAAATTACGGTGAACACAAACAATAAAATACACAAAATTAAATTATATGAAAAAGTTAAGTTTTTTTTTCCTGGGCTCGTCTGACTATGTGTCTCCGAATAACACTGAAGCCTATTGGCTTATTGTGTTTTAGCCCATGTTAGTTCATAGCACCCACTCTATCACCTTTGTACCTTGTACAAGTTTGTACAGATCTTTGGGTGAGTGGGTTCTATACGTTGTTGGATCAACCTGGGGTTGTCCAAAAAGAGCCTGTCTTTTGCGATCTAGAGCTTCGCATTCGCACAGTATGTGTTTGGCCGTTTCTGGTTTCTTGTGACATAGTCGGCACATGAGTTCCCCATTGTACATGCCAATTTTGTTCAAGTGTCCTTTTACTGGGGCGTGCCCAGTCATGAACCCTGTTATCACTTTCAACTGGTTCCTATTCATTAAGAGTAGTTCTCCAGTTCTTTTGGGACATGGTCTGCCTATGAAGGCTTTTCGATGTGCCTGTTTTGGGGTGCTTCCCCAATAGTTGATATGTTGTTCCCGAATCCAGTCATTTATAAAACCCCGGACTGTACTTTTTGGTACTCCTGGGTTTGTGTCTGGTTCCGGTGTTTCTTCTGACCCTCTTTTTGCAAGTTCGTTAGCCTTTTCGTTGCCTTCGATCCCTTTGTGACCTGGCATCCAAAATAGTTTTACTCTATTTCGGTCTGCCAGTGTTCTTAGTTCTTCGATGCATTCCCATACCAGCCTCGACATAACTTCCTGACTCGATATGGCCTTAAGTGCCGCTTGGCTGTCTGACATTATTTGAATATGCTGATTTTCGACAGCTCTTTCATTGTTCGTTTTTGCACATTGCAAAATTGCGTATACCTCGGCCTGAAATACCGAGGAATGTATTCCTATAGTATAGCTATGGTTATTATCAGGGTTTTTGGAGAATACTCCTGCCCCAGTGCCTTCCGCAGTCTTAGACCCGTCTGTATACCAGGTTTGTTCCTGTCGTTGGGCATTGGTTCCCTTATGGTGATCTCCGCTCTTTCCTGTATTAAAACCTCAAAGGGAGTATTAAAAGAGTACCTCTTGGTTATGTGGTCTGATCTCTTGTCTAGCACGTCTCCTGTAACTAACCTTGAGATACTCATGTGACCTGGCCTAATGTCAAGATTTCCCAGTGTATTCCCTAATCTGTAAGCACCTAATCTTGCCTCCCCTTTTATCACATAGTGAAGAGGTGGGAGTCCTATTTGTGCTTCCATTGCAGCAGTGAGGGTTGTTTTTATTGCCCCCGTTATTCCGAGGCAGGCAAGTCTTTGTACCTTGCTTAGCCTCGTTATTGCTTTCCTTTGCTGTGTCTTTGGCCACCACACCAAAGCTGCGTATGTTATTATGGGTCTCACCACCATATTATAAAGCCAGTATAACATGTCTGGTTTTAACCCCCATTTTTTTCCAAAGGATCGCCTTGCCATCATTAATGAGGTTTCCCGCCCTCATTGTGGTTCTTTCCTAGATGCTGGTTCCCAGGTAAGTCTCGAGTCAATCATAACCCCGAGATATTTTACCTCCCCCTTAAGCTGGATGCTTGCACCTCTTAGGTTTAGAGGCCCTAGTCCCTCCAATTTCCTCCTGCGGGTGAATGCAATTATGTCAGATTTGTTTGGGCTAATGTTTAGTCCTTCCCGCCTCTGTCCATTTTGTTACTATATTTAGAGCCTCTTGCATTCGATCTCTTACTATAGTGTTGTATTTTCCCCTGTGCCATGATCACTAGATCATCGGCATATCCCAGGGTTCTATGTCCCTTATCTTTGAGAGCCCTAAGCAGCCCGTCCACTACAAGGTTCCACAGGAGTGGAGACAGCACTCCACCCTGTGGACATCCTCTCGCTACCCGTGCCGCTGTTGTCTCTCCCATAAGGGTTGTGTGTATAGTTAAGTACTTGGGCATCTATCTAGATACTTACATGAGATGGAATATACATAATTATGTTTGTAAAAAAATATGATGTGTATATTGTCAAAATGTAAAAAATTATCAAATATATTAAAAATCACCCAGTTGCGAATCCTGTACTATGGACGCTTTAGAAACATATTTATCCCCTACAGATATTACAGAAACGATTTCTGAGAATAATCTACAGATAAGATGTTACTTACCCATCAGAAGAACTTTTCTCCGATTTCAATGTCTTAGACGTCCGGCAATTATATTTCCTAAAACTTAATACTAAATATTATGTCAAAACATCAATACAACCTACGAGCCCAGAATCATATCATTTGGCCCATTCAATATTATATTTTTTATTTTACTTTAGACAACATTGGTAAATACAGAAGAAAAATCTATTAAATCGAACTATTTTTATTATAATTTGAGACATGTTTATCAACATTAACAGTTTTTGTTACTCGTGAAAAATTTTTCATGCGATACTTGAAAAAAAAATTATTAATTTAATTTTTATTCGTTTTTATTAGTTTTATTAATTTTTATTAATTTTTAATAATATTTATTAATTTTTAATAATTTTTAATAATTTTTAATAATTTTTAATAATTTTTAATAATTTTTAATAATTTTTAATAATTTTTAATAATTTTTAATAATTTTTAATAATTTTTATTAATTTTTATTTATTTTTATTGAATTTTTATTATTTTTTATTAATTTATATTATTTTTATTAATTTTATTTATTAATTATATTTATTTAATTTTTTATTTATTTTTATTTTTTATTTATTTTTATTTATTTATTCCCCCCTCCTTAAAATGTGAAAATCCACAAAACCTTTAAATACGTCATTATATGAGTAGCTACAATTCGAACTTTCCCACCTTTAAAAAATCGATACTTTCGCACTGCGCAGCTTTCTGAGTGCCTTTTAAAAGGAGATAGAAAACTCCGCCATTTTGAACCCTTATTACGTGTTGCCTACATCTTGGCGCAATATTTTTAATAGGTGCGTTTTAATCATCCGCTTCTGCTTCGGAATTGTCGGTTTTCTTGTTTAAATCTGACAGGTTAAAACGACTAAACCGACAATTCCGGAAGCAGAAGCGGGATGATTAAAACGCACCTGATATTTTGCTTGCTGCTGTCAGTGTCAGTGAATATTATTTTTGGAGTCACAGTTTATTGCTAAAGAATCAGTTAGCTCACTCGGACCAGTTGAAAGTTCCAAAATAACATCCACTCCAGGGATACAAATCCAGGATACGTAGAAGACTGCTGTTTTATTATAGGCGGTTGTCACATATTGTATTATCCAAGTTGCGCAGTGTATAAACTGGAACATTTAGATTAAAAATGCCGACGCAGAGTGAGCTATCTGATTCTTTAGCTATAAACTGTGTCATAGGAATCAAAATGGCCGCGCCCTATGTTGGGCGTGTCGGACCTCTCTCTTGCCCCGTATACTATACGGAGAATGGTCGCACTGCGCAGCTTTCTGAGTGCCTTTTAAAAGGAGATAGAAAACTCCGCCATTTTGAACCCTTATTACGTGTTGCCTACATCTTGGCGCAATATTTTTAATAGGTGCGTTTTAATCATCCGCTTCTGCTTCGGAATTGTCGGTTTTCTTGTTTAAATCTGACAGGTTAAAACGACTAAACCGACAATTCCGGAAGCAGAAGCGGATGATTAAAACGCACCTGATATTTTGCTTGCTGCTGTCAGTGTCAGTGAATATTATTTTTGGAGTCACAGTTTATTGCTAAAGAATCAGTTAGCTCACTCGGACCAGTTGAAAGTTCCAAAATAACATCCACTCCAGGGATACAAATCCAGGATACGTAGAAGACTGCTGTTTTATTATAGGCGGTTGTCACATATTGTATTATCCAAGTTGCGCAGTGTATAAACTGGAACATTTAGATTAAAAATGCCGACGCAGAGTGAGCTATCTGATTCTTTAGCTATAAACTGTGTCATAGGAATCAAAATGGCCGCGCCCTATGTTGGGCGTGTCGGACCTCTCTCTTGCCCCGTATACTATACGGAGAATGGTCGCACTGCGCAGCTTTCTGAGTGCCTTTTAAAAGGAGATAGAAAACTCCGCCATTTTGAACCCTTATTACGTGTTGCCTACATCTTGGCGCAATATTTTTAATAGGTGCGTTTTAATCATCCGCTTCTGCTTCAGAATTGTTGGTTTTCTTGTTTTAATCTGACAGGTTAAAACGACTAAACCGACAATTCCGGAAGCAAAAGCGGATGATTAAAATGCACCTGATATTTTGCTTGCTGCTGTCAGTGTCAGTGAATATTATTTTTGGAGTCACAGTTTATTGCTAAAGAATCAGTTAGCTCACTCGGACCAGTTGAAAGTTCCAAAATAACATCCACTCCAGGGATACAAATCCAGGATACACAGAAGACTGCTGTTTTATTATAGACGGTTGTCATATATTGTATTATCCGAGTTGCGCAGTGTATAAACTGAAACATTGAGATCAAAAGTGCCGACACAGAGTGAGCGATCTGATTCTTTAGCTGTAAACTGTGTCACAGGGTTCAAAATGGCCTCGCCCTATGTTGGGCGTGTCGGACCTCTCTCTTGCCTCGTATAGTAATCAAAGTATGTGATTGGGTGTCTCATAAACGTCTAAGGTGGATGAATGACATTTCTACTAAGATAAAGAATTATTATTATTATTCTCAATCTATTTTATTAATTTACATTTTTAAAATGTTATTTTAATACTTTTAAATTCAGTGTTACTAAATACCGATATTTTTAGATTGGATATACTTGCTTGAGGTACAACTTTACAATTTATTATTGTCTTTAAATCTTTTTGCTTAAAATGTATATACATGTCCAGATTTTAATAATTTTTCACATTTTATATCATTTTGACCATGTAAACGATTGTTTTTTACTGGCCGGTATCTATATTTAACTATATTTAATATTTTAAAAAAATATCCTTTATTTTTTACTTGCAATGTTTACCCCATTTAATTCTAAAATTGAACACCAGAGAGGGCTAACTTCGGCAGTAGTGCTGCCTCTATATTTCACTCACGGTCCCTATACGGAGAATGGCCGCACTGCGCAGCTTTCTGAGTGCCTTTTAAAAGGAGATAGAAAACTCTGCCATTTTGAACCCTTATTACGTGTTGCCTACATCTTGGCGCAATATTTTTAATATGTGCGTTTTACGCCCGTATGCACCGTACACGTTTAATCCAGATCAAGGGTTTAATCGCGTTTAGTACCATTTTAATCTATGGTACTAAACGCGATTAAACCCTTGATCTGGATTAAACGTGTACGGTGCATACGGGCGTTAATCATCCGCTTCTGCTTCGGAATTGTCGGTTTTCTTGTTTTAATCTGACAGGTTAAAACGACTAATTTTTAAAATTGCTTTAACATTATTTGAAAATAGATAAAATAGTGAAGTAATACATATTATTGAAGAGAATTTAATTCTCTACAACCCTACGGTCTGCATTTATTTTTTGGGTGCATCGTTGAAGAGTTATCCGGTCAAAAAAGCAAAATATGTGAAGCAAAAATGTTTTTTCCAAAATTACAGACTTTCAAGAGTTGATATATCGAAAACTATACAAGATATCGAAAACTTGGCTGAGTAAAATTTTTAGCAAATAATAATAATAATAATAAGCTTGCAATTTATATTGAACGGCCATGTCGCTAGGACGCATAGCTTCCGAGTTATAGTAAGCGAAAACCCCAAAAATGGGACCTTCAGATCCCCCTCTCCCCACCCCCCTCGGCTCACCACCTAACTAGTCAAAACAAAGTTACGGAGTCAAAAATTGTGTTCCATTCATTTCCCTCTATACCTCTTTTTTAGCATTCGTTGCTTGAACTACTTAATATTTTTAAATTTTTGATGTGTATTGTTTTTAATAAATGGCTGTATTTATATTGTAGTGTTTAGAGTTAAATATGTAAACTCGTATATTTAAAGCAAAATGAAATATTTTAGAATATTTTTTTAAAAAATTGATCGTATCGTATTAAAATTTATTTTATGTACTCGTTTTTTTTCATTTGTGTTTTCGGCCATTGGCATCGAGAGAGAGAGAGAGAGAGAGAGAGAGAGAGAGAGAGAGAGAGAGAGAGAGAGAGAGAGAGAGAGAGAGAGAGAGAGAGAGGGGGGGAGATAATACAATATATTAAAAAAATATATAACATCTGGTGCGCGGTATCAGCATCCCCTGTGTACAGAAAACAAATTTTCAATAAATAAAAATGTAACTGAATGGTGGGCCATACAGTACAATAATTGCCAAGGAAATTTACGCTCCGCCCTGTATACAGAAAATAAATATTTCAATAAAAAAAAAAATAGTTCAGTTATAACGGTCGAATAATTACAAGAAAAGAATTAATCCGGAAATTGAGTACCCCTCTGTATACAGAAAATAAATTTTCAGTGAATAAAATTAATTAAATACAACAGTTGAAAGCTACAAGAAAATAATTATGATTCTTCCTGTATACGGAAAATAAATTATT